ACCCTTGGGATCCTTTCAGTGGCAACCCGGAAGCCTACCGTACACGACCCGCTTCAAGTGTCTATTCTCAACCAACCCCGCGGGTGAAGGACGGCCGACCCAAATCCATCATCCCCCCTGTGCCTGCTATTCCTACATCCCACACGTCTGTAAAAGCCATGGAGACTAGTGACATATATGTCGACCAGGCTTCAACGCCTGCTCGAAGACACCGCGCATTCTCCACTGGAACCGTATTTGAAGACGATTCGCCGTCAAATCAACGACTCAGCCGCCCCCGATCATTTTCGGAGGAAAGCAAACAAGAATTACCCAGCAGGTTCAGTGTTGATACCATTGCCACAAGGCGTCGATCACAAGGATGGTGGAATTTCTTACTCTCTCCTCTTCTTTCAAGGTCGAACACCATCGCCAGTAAAATGAGTTTGAAATCGCCCCAAGACGAAACACCGCCGGCTATTCCCCCGTTTCCCAATGCACTATCAGCGCATGTTGCTGATAAATATGTGGAAGTTTCTTTCTTTTCACCAGATACACCTCTGAGCGGCGAGGAGAAAGAAAGTATATGGGCATCTTCCGCAGCCACTGCTGGCAAACCTAATGTTGGCCGTGAAGCATTTGATTCTGAAATCGATGATGATTATGACGATGATTGCTCACAATCATCACCTCGTCAAGCGAGTAATAAAACCTCCCACTTCTCTACATTTTCTACACAAACCGTTCCGTTCATGATTTCAAGCCCTAGTTCAGCAGGTTTCTCACAGCAACATTTTTACGAGTCAGTACATGACCAATTTAGCACAAGTCGAGTTTCCCAGTTCAGTCCATCAGCGAATCCATATCCCAGGCCGTTCAGGAACGCTGAATCCTTTTCACCTATGTCTAATGTCAGGACTCAGATACAACAAAATCAAAACTTCAATAACCCCCTTTTCCAGCGCTTTGCCGACAGCGTAAGATATGGAGAGGACTCAAGAGAACGATCGAATTCTGACTCGACTGTGATCGAAGACGAACCAGATTTCTCCCCAAATGTTCGTCAAGCGACGGTAACACCCTTCGTCAGAGCTGCAGCGGTTGGGCCATTCCAAACTACGTCGACTATCCCTGCCAGACCGTTGCCAACAAGGGACCAGAAGTTGCTCCCGGCGATGGTTCCATCAATGTCGACTCAACAAAAAAAATCCGACTCGTCTCCAAGTTTAAGTCTGGAATCATCAACCACACAACCTCCCCCTTACTCTCCACCTAAAAGGATTACCCAGTTTCGGCGGTATAGAGCTATCCCGCCCCCGAATTTGCAACCTCTGCCTCTATCACCGGGACCTCTCTCTCCAGCGAGCCAGACACAGATGGCATCGAGAGGTGGAATACTGTTGTCTACCATGCAGCAACCTCAGCCTCCTGCTGCTGTGTTTGACCCTTCAAACAATCATGTGCGGCGTGGTGTTCTGCCACCGTGTCTGCCGAATAACCCTGTCCACCTGTCAGATGTTGGAAGGCCAACGAATGTACGAGCACAAAACGAATCCAGGCGTCAGAGACTAGAGCGAGAAGATGAAATTGGGAGAATGGTTGGAGGTCTATGGCGCGGTAGGGGCTGTTTCAGTGACCGCGGATGTTTTGGTAGACCTGGGCGAGAAGGAAGAAAAAAACGCCGATGGTACATGGGTATCGCTACTGTTTTAACCATTATTATTGTTGTCAGTATTGTGCTTGCTGTTACCCTCACAAGAAGGCATCATGATGAAGCCGAACCGGCGCGTTGGCTGAACCTGACAGGCTACCCTCCCATGCCGATGGGAATTTCAACCGTTGCAGGACCGGATGCCGCTGTTTCTAACTCTGGATGTATACGCCCAAGGTCCATGTGGAGCTGTGCATTACCCAAGGAGAACCAGGAAGCAAATAAACCCTTTGACTCGGACCAACCAAACTTTAGGTTGCAGATAAATTTCCGAAATGGCAGTTTCCTCCATAGCACAGTTCCATCCCAGTCAACGACCGCAAAAAGATCAATCTTCACATTCCTGGCCACCTTGAACCCTCTCCCGGGGCTTCTTAGTCGGCGCTCCCTACAAACCAGGGATACCAAGTTCTCACCAAATCCCGCTCCGCCAAGCAATCGCGAGCAGACGTTCCTTGGCAATACAACAGATGGAGTTACTGCTCCCTTCGCCGGAGAAGATACTCCATTTTTCGCAACCTTCCTATCTCCTGAGTCTAAAATAGCAACCACCCGCCAGCGACGTGCGGATATCCTAGGCTCATCTGGGGACCTGAATCTAACCTACGTTATTCCCCAACCGGCCCAAAACTCGGATGGAACCTCCGCACCTGCAAATCTCCATCCTCTTCCCATCTCCCAGCCGATTCGCCTGTATGACCGTGGTCTTCCTACAGAGCACTACGGTTTCTATTCTTACTACGACCGCTCGATCTTTCTCAAATACGACATCCCGCTCAACTCGACTATTACAGACGTAGCTCCAGACGACGAGCACGGGGGCTCAACGCGAGCCGCTGCTCGTCACCGCTGCACTTGGACCCAAACCAGATTCCTCGTGCAGTTTTGGACAAAGCCCTCCCAGAATAATATGAACCTGACCCCGACACCTTCAGCCACATCTTCCCCAGATTCTAAAACGCCTTTCCCCACCCCTACTATGAATTTCACACGCCCGGTGTCCTTCCCATATCCCATTACCATTGCCCTGGACAGACATGGCGGAGATCCAAAATCCAAGATGGTCTATTGCTATAAGCTGGATGTGGCACAGCGGTACCTTATGGAATCAAAGCAGTTACAGATAGAGCAGCGGAATTTTGGAGGCTCGTTAATCAATCCAGGAAAGCTATTTAATGGTATGCCTTCGGCTGGGGGTATTGAGAAGAGGACTGTGGACATGGATGTTGGGGGATTTGATGGGGGAAATGGGGGCTGTCGGTGCGAGTGGAGAAACTGGTTGAGAAGCAGGTGAGCCGCTGGGTCAGTCCCTTTTTGTAACTATATGGTGCTGCTGTTGAATATTTCTAGGCTTGTCTGGCTGATCGATTGATGCCGTAATTCATGCGTATTTCCTGTACAACACACTGTAGAATAAGTTATTGCTGTTAACCTTTGTTACTTTTATTTTTATTTTATTATTCTCTTTTCGTTATTCCCCCCCACCTATTCCCTGTCTTTTATGGTATATTAGTATTCAAAGAAATTGATTTGTTAACTATCACGTCTGAATATAAGTTAAAAAAGGTTTAGCTGTTTCACAAGGTGTTATCTTAAGTTTCCCCTCTCAACCAATAGGATGAGGAGCGTTTTCGGCCTCGGTGTGACCCCGATGATCAAGGGTAAATAGACAGCTTTGCCAGGCCCAGATCCTTCGAGAGAAATGGCGGACAACCGGAGGTACTTTAATTAATTGATGTCTTCTATCTTTTCAATTATATAAATATATATAGATAGTAAATCATTGTTTTTGCTGATTATTGTTATTAGATCCAAAAATAAGTATTTTATAACAATAAATGATTATTAATCTTCTTTAATAATAACAATTTTATTTTATATAACTTATTTATAATCTAAGTATAATATATATATTATCTTTTAAGGGATGATATTATTATCTTACTCCTATAAATTTATTAAAGTAAGACTATTCTATCTATTCTATTAATTATGTTGGGAGCGATTCGTCGAACGCTCGATATTAAGTACCAAAAATATAGGACTTACTTACCTCTTAGTCTACATATTATGGATAACAAGACTCGAACCTGCAGCAGTTAACTATTCCATCCGAAGTGGAACCCGGTACCTAATTTCAGCATACCGATAATCGCTCGAAATAAGACCTGAACATATAACCTAAACAGCTTCAGTATTCCGCTCTCCCTATCGGACTTCTCGAGCTATTTATATTACTGGACTTCGAGCTGAATCAGAAACTTTTTTAGCTAAAGGTTGATCAAAAAAAAAAAAAAATTTTAAAAAAAAAAAATTGATTAGATTATGATTAAATATTTGATTAAAGATATGGTCCAAATATAAATATCGGGAATTGGATCGGCAGGTGATGATCCCCACTCGTTAGGGATGAAATATCAAACGCCAGTAGGCGAACTAAGACAAGCCTAATCTTGCTGAAGAGATGCCCCGCACAGAGGCTTCTCCAAATAGAATCGTGGGAATCAGGTTTGATATCAGCGAGAGTGGGATTGCAGAAACAGGTGTCTCTGACCTGCAACATGGGTGTTGATAGAATCGGGGACTGATTTTGCATATTTCAGCTATTTTCATGTGCTCGCCTTTTTTCTATGAGTTAGCGCAATCTCAGTTAAACCACGCTCCAACATATCAAGATCGGTTGCAATCATATGATTATCATCTTCTTTGAGAATTTGTGACAAATCTCCGCAGAGATGATGGTTGGAGGCTACAGACGGAAATCCGAAATCCCTGGCCGGGCCCCAGTTAATCGGGGTCCCAAGCTTTAAGGGAGTGCGGGGCGGACTCAATTCCCCAAGCATGATTGATACCTGGAATCTTAATTGATGTATGAGGAACGAAAAACAAAATATGGACCCTCAAACACGTTGTGAATTCTGCAGTGGTTGGCTACCCCTTTCTTATGGCGGGCTTCGTGGCGTTACTACATCCATCCCCTTGCGCTATGTTGCCCGTTCTATGAGAGCGGGACAGGAACCACAACAGGGGGCGGAACCACCACATTCCATTATTCACAACCCCGCCCTTGAGAACGTGTGGATTACCGCATAGGGCACGTCATCATCCGCTGGAACTGTGCCCGTGACGCTTGAGGTGTCTAAAGGCCGATATCCCTGACAATGTCGCCAAATTTGCAACTCATCTGGGCACATTAGTTAATATATATGGACGGGTACATTTCTATCATTACGTGTCATCGAAAATAAGCACATACGTAACTCTTTGCAGTAAACTAATTCTGCTTCCTTTAGCTGGACAGAACCGCTACCTACCTTTCAGTCACCGTCACATCGTTTCCGCGACGCAAGCCCAGACCATTTGGGGCCGGGCAGTATAGGTGGTCTTCCTGACTTCGACTCCCGCCTTGGTTTGAGCCACACCAATCCCAAGCGGCTCCCTGGTCCTCATTATCATGATCACCAACAGTATCAACGTCGAAGTTACTGCAACATATGAAGTGATCACTGTCATTGACTGGTTTATGGACCGTTTCCGAACTGCAGTCAATGTCACTGGGGTTCTCTATGGAGCTGCCATTGTGATAAAGACGAAGATGTCGGAGACCGGTCGTTGCGTCAGACTGGGCAATGATCGATGAGTGTGAACAGACACAACAGTCGAGGCAGGATAGGCACGTTTAGACAGAACTTCAAAGAGAGGGGTATGCGATGCGGGTAGTAGTCCTTCATTATTATATATATACGGGGGATATATTTAATGAAAAAAGAAAGACAATATTTTTAGAGAGAAAGGGATGTTATGCTAAGAAAGTTGTCGCTCGTATTCCAAAGAAGCTTAAACCTAGTCCGTAAGTTAGTACTCTAACTACCATGGGCAAGAGGCGGAAGTCTAGTATGTATATTTCTCTTTGTTTATCACATTTCTCAGATTGTCAAAATACTGCGTTACGTCTCTAGCCCGCAAGTTAGGAGGCAATCTGCATATAGAGTAAAATCAGACCTATGCTTCCATAAGTGAAATAACTAACTAATATAGAAAGCATTCTTACTCGTTCCGTTTCACCCTCCGTTGAACACACAGAATATCTCCGTTTCCCAACTCAGCGCGCTCAAATGTTGTATTAACATCGACGCTGAGGATCATTGAGGGCTTCACTTCCTGGTAATTTGTCAGAGTATCCAGTCAGGCCCCCCTCCAAAGCCGCATGAACAACAGGAAGAAGAAATTGAGTTCTCACCTCGCGCACTGAAAATTTGACGTCACTTGGCCATCCCATTGCTGTGAGGACGGCAGGACCAACTGCACTCCCCCGTTGAACGTAGAGAGTATTAACGCCACGCAGTGTTTGGTTAACCACATCGAAATACTTGAGAAATATCATGATTGTTGTCCCCTCAGTGGTCACTTTGGGTGGGGGCACTCGGACTCCTGCCACTGTCGGCCCAACTTCAACCCAGAGTTGGTGGATTTTTCCTCTGGCAGCAACATTTAAAAATGCCTTTTCGATTGTAACTTCAGGCTGAAGCAAAGGCACATGCGGTCTGCGTGTTCCATTTTGTCGATTTATACAAACCCACAAGGCAATATGACAATGGTCCAGACTTAACTTTTGGGCAACTTGTTGAGTGAAATCGCCAACCGTTGTTTCTTTGAGGACGCGAATGAATGTTGAGGCTGCCTTATCATCCTGATCTAGATCGTTGTTTGCCAAGTCGAATCCATCATGGTGGCGGAACGAGGAGGCTGTAATAAGGCTAATTCCCATGTAGAGAGGATCCTCTTCCCTTTCCTTCTTTTGTCGTTCAGCCGTTTCCCGGTCTTGCGCCAATCCAGTTTCTTTCCGTCAAAGAATGTTAGAATGAGAATTTAATAGGTATATTTGCTCCGGCTAAGACGCAAGGAGGAGTAGAGCACATACTGATATATGTGGGGATATCGGCCTCTTTAACGTCAACAAGGATATCATCTATCCTCGACTTCCGTACATAAAGTAACATATATGCGTTCGTCGCCTTCCCCTCTGCTCCATAATTTTCTTCTATGACGTTCCTGAGCATGGCACGAGTGACCCTGTCGTCATCAAATTTATAAAAGGACCCGTTTGGCGAAGGACGCAAGTATACCCAGTACCTACCGCCATGGACACCTCCACTGTGCACAACAACACCGGTGAGTCGGTATATCCATGGCTCAGACTTGTCCGAATCGACTGAGAGATAAGGAGAGGCATCAAATTCCTCAGGATAACTGAAAGTGTCGTTCACTTTCAGTAGTTGGCGCTGAGTCATGTCATATGCATATCGCTTCAAGTGGAGATGAAGAACAGTAGGGAAGCTTCCAAAGATAACGCCAGTTGTGGTTTTCCTGATGCCATGTTCGGTCCGTTCCTCATCGGTATTCTCCCTGGTGTAGTCTTGAAAGCTCTCTGCAAGAGAAGGAATATTCTGGACATTGAGACTGATATCTAAGAACTCTTCTATCCTCAGCTTTTGGACACCATCGACGGAGACGTAACTCTTCACTCTGCCGAGGAAAATATCGGAAAGTTTGGATTCCACCGTAAATCGCTCCATGAACACCCTAGCCATCTCTTGGACATCCTGTTGCATAAAGAGATGCTGGGGTCCCCATCCAAGTCCTCTGGTAAGCTCTAGAGCTGAGACAGGACTATCGTCGGTTTGCAGTGAGTAGAAAAGGCGTTGTAGTGCCCACAGAAACGTGTTTTTGGATGAATCATTATCAAGTGGTAGCTGATAAACAGTCTTCTTGATCTTAGTGACCTGATAATGAATAGATAGAGTTCATGGTATACGTGTACTGTACATAGGCTGGCGGAAGCATACCTTACGGAATAAGTTCGTAAAATAGAAAATCTGCAATATAACATTCAGATAGCCAGTTGAGCCAAGGTTTTTTAGGCCAATTAGACCAGTGGCTTTCTTCGAGTCGTAGCTATCACGGTATCAGAATTGCGTCAGGGTTGTGATGTCAACAAACACGGATGCTCACTCAAGAAAAGTATGCCATAGGACTCCGGTATGGTCTCTGATAGTGCGCACGTAAGCGGTTATATTCGCCTCCTCGTTACCCAGAAGGGATGGCTTATCCCCGAGATATCCTAACAGCTTTCTAAGTTCGCAAAATTTTGTGAAGCCCCAATCCGGACCATCTGTGGAGAAACGGAATTTGGCATCTAGGACAAGTTTTAATCACAGAAGGACGAGAATGGGATGGCTGGGACAGATGGATGTATTTACTTTTGGAAATGTAAGATGATGGGCTCTCGGTATTCCATAGGACCAAAGTAAACTGGACACAGGCACTCCAATGCCCTGGCATTTCTCCCTCATCGTAGCCGTGCTTGAGGTATACAGATAGATGCTGGTTGTGGCTATTTCCATGGGGGTAGAGTAGGATCCTCCTACTCGAATTAACCCACGAAATATTCAGAATTTTCAAGGCGACTGCTTTCCATAGGCTATTTTCAAACAAGAGGGATGGCCTACCACTTTGAGCCACCGCATTCAAACTTCGGACTTAGTTCTGTCTTCTCCAATTCCGTCCAGTTCGGTAAACGCCAGGTGAAGTGGGTTTGTTCCTCTGTTTCCAAAGCTGGATCGACGGGCAACCACTTGACCATCATGGCATCATCTGTGATATAGATGAATGAATTCTAAGATTAGCGTCACAGCCTCTCTCTTACACTTGGACAGAATTGATATTGACGCTCTCCGTACGGAGCGGAGAAGTATGTACAATCTTCGAAGCAACTAAAAACATAAACGGATTAACCTTACAATCGTTGGCAAGAGGTTTCGGTTCCTGTTTGAATGATCAGCCGTAATGAGCATAGGATTGCATTTTAACAACACTTTCTTCTTCTTTTTAATGCTATCAGAAGCGGTATTTCTGTCTTTTGGAGAGCGTTGCGGAAACCTGATATTCTATATTTATCTCACATTTTCCGCAGGAGGCTGGCCTCCTTGAGATGTTCGGGAAGCCATGGAGTATTTTTCCTCCAAGCATGTGTTGAGAGCCCTTGGAATAGACTATTAACGACGGATCTGGACCAGATATATTCGAAATTCCAAGCGAGAAGTGTTTGATATGATATATTTCTTATCGAAGATGCAAGGCTTTTAAGAAATGTGCAGCCACAGTCACAGATTCGACAGCACGGGACGCTTGGTAGGAGGATCCAAATAACTAGTTAACGTAATCCACAAGCGAATAGATAACTTCTCCAACCACACAGCATCTTTAGAAGCAAATATAACGACAGCCATATAGAAAATGAGTTTAATTGCATTATGAACTATTTTCTGTAGGTCCTGAGCATGTATGAGCAGTATGTTCAATAATACCACATATACTGCACTGTGGTACTGCTCATTTTCATGATTGAGAGTCAGAAACCTCGACTGTCCTCTGTCCCCTTCATTGACACTTCATGCATAATCTATTCCTTCTTCAACTCTTAAAACACCTTCCTGAGCTATATATATATGTAGAGCTTTCCCCTCACTTTCTCTTTTACTTCTCATTTGCAGCTCTTAGTTCCTTGTTTTCCTTTGCTAGAATAGCAGCATGATGCATAATTATTTGACATTTTTAACCAGCTGATCCAGGATTTAATTGATTGGTCTAGATGCTGTATATAGTGCTTGAGATATTTCTTGACTTTCTCATTCTGCAGCTCCATTTGTCATGTATTATAAGATATAACTGTGATTTGGAAGACTTAAAAGCCATGAGAATTCTCTGTGAGCATTGTAAGTATGTATCTGACTGTTCAAATGATCAAGAACTTGCTCTGAATTATATGAAACTAGCCCTAAAGCTTTCAATCACTTTTAATGTTGTTCTCGTTTTCAGTGTCTATATAAGCTGAATACAGAGTGAAAAACTCTTTTTTATCGATATCCATAATGTTAAGCTGCATTTTGTCTTTTATCTGTCATCTGCACACCTTTAGGGGAGAAAAACAGCTAATATTCAAGAACTCAAGAAGATGAGAGGAATGAGAGATATAAAGAGCAATGATGTTGTTCTTAGAGTAGAATTGATCAAATTCATCTGAAGTATGACTTTTATATTCATCAAGAATCTCAAGAGTCTTGGTCAGACATCTCTTTGAGTCAGATAAAATCTCAGCTTATCATTTGTTTAGCCATCTAACTTAGTCATTGTGGTAGCTTTTCAATCTCATATTAATAGAATGAATATATTTTTCTCTTCAGAATTGTAACTGTCGCGCTACTGAGTACAACCCTAGCACTTCCTTATATAACAAAAAGACGAATTCATTAGGAGAAAAGAAAAGAGAATGAAAGCTATGAGGGTGGGTGCAGAGTTTTATACAGGTCAGGAATTTCAACTCTGGGGAATAATGTTGAGGAAGAGGATAATAATCTGGGTTGTAAGCAGAGGGGGCGGTCGAGGAATAATCCGGGCTCAGAGTTTTGGTTACGAAAGGTTCAGGCGTTAGCCTATTCCAAGAAATGATCATCATATACAAAACAGCTTATTGCAATCAACTGCTGCAATAACAGTAACTAGCTCAGTCTTCAGACTGTGCAAACTTTTAAACAATCAACTTTCACTTCTAGCTGTTTCAATCTTATTTAAAACTTAGTCTCATCAAAGTTGTATGTATCATCTAATTGTCAGGCTTATCCGCCTTCTTACATAATCCGCACCGTATAACGTAACCAATCACTCAACTGGCCAGATCACTCAACTGGCCACCTCCCCACTGTACATTAAACAAATCTTTAAATTCCGCCACCACTATATTAAATTATTCATTAAAAAATTATATACAATTAAATCCTAGCTCTGCAAGCATCCAGGGGCCCTATGTCCAGTATTCCCACACTTGCTGCAGCGTGCCGGTGCTCGCTTTTTAGTGGGTTGATTTGAATCCTCCACCCCTCTATCCACCATCTGCTGAGCAGCCTGAGCAGTCTGAGCTCTAGCTAATCCTTCTTCTCCAGTCAGAATTCCTTCCTGACCTATGTAAACACAGCCTTGTCCTCGCTTGCATTTCTGCTCCTCATTTGCAGCTCATAAAGCCTTGTTCTCTTGAGCCAAAAGAGCACCCCCATGCATAGCTAGTTGGCACCCCCGAACTAGTTGATCTAGAGCTTGGTTGGTAGGACTAGGTGGGCTTTGCGTACAATGCTTGATAAACTGCTTGAGCTTGTTGAATTGGCGTTCCAATTGGACAGCATTTCAGGGAGTCTTTGGGGTCCAGGAGGCCTGAGATTCATGAGATGTGCCTGGGGGACTTGGTGTATGTAGTTGATAATATAGGCGTTCAAGAACCTCCTCTGCATTGAATGGCACTAAGCCTGTGGCTCTGAATCCATTCTTAATAGTCATATCCTTCAATGCCTCCTTCCTAGCAGCAGAATATAGTTCTAGGAATTCCTCCTTATCCACATGATTAATGCCAAGCCTCATGCCAGATTCAACCTGCTTGCAATATGCCTTCTTCAGGGGGGCAAAGCAGCTCACATCTAGTGGCTGCAGCAGATGGGAAGAATGAGGTGGCATATAGAGAGCTATAATAGCATTCTCTCTGCAGAATTGGTCAAATTCAGCAGTGGCATGGCTCCCATGCCCATCCAGAATCAAGAGTCTATATCTTCCAACTGTATAAGCCTGAGTATGCTTGTTAAACACCTCTTTCAGCCATATTAGACCAAGCTGATCAGTGGTCCAGCCATTCTCACTAACCCCAATTACCCAATCTGCTGGCAGGTTTGTATATCATGAAGCCTGGTGTAGCTTGCCCTTGAGAATAATCATTGGAGGCAGGCTCTGTCCTCTTGCATTGACCGACTCAATCACAGTCACCCATTCCCTATTTCCTGGCTGTATAAGAGATGCCTTTCCAGCTCTTTCTGACCTAGTGACCACTAAGGTTGTTGAAATAACCCCCATAAGAAAGCCAACTTCATCAAAATTATATGTATCCTCAGGTAGAATTCCATACTTCTTCATGGCATTATCCACCATTCTAAACCACCTCTTTATAATCTCTGGATCTTCACATAGAGCTCGCTGGTGATCATATCTGCGTGTGAGCCTGGTCTTCAGCTCAGAATGGCGTTTAATAAATCTCCGCACCCAGCATTCTCCAATGCTAGGGGATATGCTAGATCCACGGGCCCTGAGTAGCTCAATGGCCATATATCGTACACTTGCAATTCGGGGGGGTAGGCCTCTCTCATCCATGGAGATTATCCATTGAACTAGAGCTTCTTCTTCTGTAGGTGTCAATTTCTGGCGTTGAGACTGGGATTTCACGCGTGGAATGCCTCCATGTAGTCGATTGGATAGGGTGGCACGAGAGACACCATAGGCCTTAGCAGCAGCTCGAATGCTAGAAATTTGCTTGGTTTCATAGGCTCTAATGGCCAAAAGAAGTTTTCCTTCCTGATTAGAGGCTTGAATTTTCATTGTGGTTGAGAAATTGAGCTTTGATTGTTGATGATGGGTTGAAATTGGAAAGGTGGCCAGTTGAGTGATCTGGCCAGTTGAGTGATCGATTACGTTAGTTAGTTATAACTTCCGCGTAGCTAGCGATCGCTTCATAATCAATCAAGCAATCTATCCTTCACACTAATAGAATCTCATACTTTGTAATAATAATATTCTATACGAGATTAAATCATCTATGATTTATCTTAAAGTTCTCACATAGAGCTCACTGATGATCATAATTTCAGACGAACTTGAATTTTGACACATCACGGTGATTGACAAAGTTTCATTACTGAGTTAAAAATCAACTGTTGAAGAAGGCTTAGACTCAGATTTGATTTCCTGTTCAGAAAGAAGTAAATTGGTTCATATTTTCTAGTCAACATTCTGAAGTGACTGACCTATTCTCATCCATGGATAGAATCCATTGAACGTTTCAGTTCTTGGGTGGAGTATCAACGCGCGCAAAGTTCAATAGTAGAGACTGGAGAAGAAAATGTCATATAACTTTGCAGCAGCAATTATGCTTGAAGAATAGCCATCTTTAAATGCTTTAACAGCAGAAAGAACTCTTCGTTGATAGAGAGCTTTATTAGCATTTGTGGTTGACATTTTGTTATTTATAAACGCGTCGCGTGGTGCTCTGTAGAGAGGTTATCCATTCACTGGTACTATCTGTTCGCTTGTTGGATTACGCTAGTTAAACACCGCCACCCTTGAAGAGCCTAGAGGCGTTGGGTGGTCTCGTATCTGCATAGGTGTGGATATGAATTGGGTTGCAAAGTGATCATGGACAATTGACAGCATATTCATGCAGAACTATACGTTGTGGGGATTATGAGATGCCTATTCTTCCGCTGTCATTTGTACATTGCATCACACTGCCTGATACAAAATAATTTGAAATATAATAATAACAAAGAGGCAACTGTACTCCACATATGTAGAGATATCTGCAGCACTCAGTGATGCAAGACAAAACATTGACACTCTCTCCTCTGTATCAGATCTCGTACGCAGGAACCTGAAAAATTGATGACAATAAAGTCGTGTAATTTCGTATTGGTACTTTTGAAACCAACTTAACTTTATTTAAATCCCCAGATCGCCGATCCTACCATGGATCCTAGATGACTTACTAATCGCCTTCAATTGGTTGGCTTGTCGTGATTAGATGAGGATGATCAACCCATCATTTTAAAGAGAAACCAATTCCAGTTGGTGAAGGTACACTGGTTTCTGACAGATAAATAATGCCTCTTCGAAAAGCGCCGCCTTGTCCATCGCTGCTCTCTCCCTCCGCATACGACGATGACGTTTCCTCTCTGAGATCGCTGTCCGACCAGGACTCAGATTCTGAAGATGACGAGCTTGTCAAAGACTCCCGGACGACACTGGAGCTATCTCAGCACGATAGAACGGTTCTGGAGGAGGAGGAAGAACGTGAGCGGCTCCTTGTTAGACAAAGTCGAGTAGACGGGCTCTGGAGGATACTCGGATCTGGTCACGACAATGCCAGCAGCGTACGAATTGGAAAGCGGGAGAGAAAGAGGCAGCGGTGTTTGCAGCGGAGAGCGGAACGGATAAAGCGCCAGGAGGGAAAAGAGAATGGGCAGGGTCTCATGTACGAGATGGAAGAGGGCAAATTTCATGACGATGCGAGCTCTCAGTCATCAGCAGCGTCGTCAGATTTAGTCCCCGTCACGGCAGATTCCCGTTTCTATACATCAGTATGTTACATTGTTGTTTCCTTTCCGTGATCCAACTACCTGGCTTGTTGCGACAAGTAAGCTCGTTTAGTTGAGGTTGCTAATAAGCATTCTCTGGCTCAGTCGAGGGGCTCCTGGTGTTGGAAAATTTGCTTACTCTCAAATGGCGTTGTGGTCTTATTCCTTCTCCTTCTCCTGGGCGCATACAAGGAGTCGACTGGTTTCCGGTCCTCTCACCGGCATCGCACCATTCTCTCCAACGGCACCTCTCTCTTTGCTCCAACAACAATACTTATTTCCCTAGATGGCTTTCGGGCTGATTTTCTTAATCGTGGGCTTACTCCAACGCTCAATTCATTTATAGCCAACGGAATTTCTCCCGACTACATGCTTCCTAGTTTCCCCAGCGTGACCTTCCCAAATCACTTTACGCTGGTTACCGGACTCTATCCTGAAAGCCATGGAATTGTCGGCAACACATTTTGGGATCCGATCCTTAAAGAGGAGTTCCATTATAGTTACCCGTCCAGAAGTATGCAGCCAAAGTGGTGGACTGCAGAACCGTTGTGGGTGACGGCTGAAAATCAAGGCGTTCGGACAGCAATCCATATGTGGCCTGGCTCAGAAGCTCACGTAGCTAACGTTGAACCCACCTATCTTGATAAATACAATGGAAAGGAAGATTTACTTCGCAAGGCCAATAGAGTGCTATCGTTTTTAGACCTGCCGGGAGAGGAAGATGATTTGCCGTCCAATACAAATAGACGACCACAACTAATCGCAGCCTACGTACCCAACGTTGATAGTGATGGACATAAGTTTGGCCCGAATAGTACTGAAATCCGAACTACCATCACAAATGTGGACAAAATGCTTGCAAATATTTTCCAGGGCCTCCACGACCGCAATCTCACAGAAGTTGTCAACTTGGTCATTGTATCTGACCATGGTATGGCCACCACTTCCACGGATCGCCTAGTTCAATTAGAAGATTTGATCGATATGGATCTGGTGGATCGCATTGATGGGTGGCCCCTTCGGGGTATCCGGCCTAAGCGTCCTGAAGACCTCGAAACCCTTAAGCAGCAGCTTTCGAAATCATCCAAAGCATACCATGACTCGATCGAAGTTTACACCCGGGAAACAATGCCCGAACGGTATCATTTCTCCAATAACGATCGTATTGCTCCTCTCTGGGTAATTCCTAAAACTGGATGGGCCATTGTTGAAAGAACGGAGTTTGATGTTAAGAAGATGCAAATGAACAAAGAAGTTTATCGACCAAGAGGTCTTCATGGATACGATCACGAACACCCTCTAATGAGATCCATCTTTGTTGCTAGAGGCCCCAAATTTCCTCACAATCCAAATAGCCGTATGGAAGTTTTCCGTATGTCCCCTTCCGTTTCCAACTTCCAAATTTTCCAGGTTGAATTTTAACTAACCAGACCTCCGCCAGAAAACATCGAAGTCTACAATATAATTTGTGACTCCCTAGAAATAAAACCTTTCCCCAATAACGGAACTCTCCGCCTCCCCCTAAATCCCATAGGTCTTCATTCCGATAAAAATAATCCTGCCCTCGAAACCCCTGAAGACCCGCCCGTCAGTACCAGCAGCAGCGCCTCTATAACCCTAACAACTCAGACTAGTTCGCAAAATCTGAAACCAACTTCCATATCAGCCTCCGCAGTTCCAACCGCCACCTCCGCTCCCGATAATGACGATGGGAATGATAGCACCAATGAATCATCATCATTTTGGGACAGAATCCTTAACAAACTCCAAAGGTTAAGCAATTGGGCCAGTATGTTCCTAGAATCTGTTGTTGAGTAATGCATTCTTGCCTGCCTATCAAACCGGCGCATTTTAGATGTAGCAGCTGATTATTTATCTTTTGGTTTCCCTACATACGCCATACATGCTTCCCAGATCTACTTTCCATTTTCTGATGACACACCCTGGGATGTTGACTTGCCCTACTATTTTGATTGCCTATATATACCTCTTTTGTAGTATTTTGGTTTTTGAATTGTTTTGTATCCCTTATACATATTTTATTCAGTGTTTGGGTTTTTCTTTTAGTTTTCTCAGCAACTCCTCAGTTTAGGACTTTACCCCGATTGACATTGTCTTACTGTGCTATTATACCTTTTCTCAAATTTCTTTCAGAGCTTTGTCTTCCTGTTACTTTTTAAATCGCCTACGAATTATGGATATTAGAGAGTGTTTTCATTGCGTATTTATTGTCTATAAATATTAAGCAAAAGACTCGAGCCCTAACCTTCACATCCTCCGCTTCATGTCCATTGACTATTATCCTATCATCCCTGAATTACCTAATAAAAAAATATGTTTCAACCTGGACGGGAGCCAACGTCAACGAAATAAACATTGCCAGCATGACGAGTTAAGTTGTCGGCCTGAGGTAATCTTTTACAATATCTTTCATAAAGGCTAGGAAATAGGTAAAGAAGATAAGGATAAAAGTAGGTGGCAAGATCATCCAATTGATCCCAATTTATTCCTTTGCTCCCCTGGAACTTTTGACGGTCATTGCTCCTCAAAACACAAATTTTCCATCCTCAGTATATATAGCAAAGGGCAAGGGAAAGGGCAGGAATGGAAATCACATTTGTGGTATCAAGCGCGAGTTTAGGACCGTTGTTTGTTCCTAGGCCCCGTGTTCTCTTCAAGTCGGAAGTGGCCAGCTTAGAGACCTTGAGAGTAGATCAGTTCTAGGTCACTTCGACGAGAAAGCGCCGTCATCATCTGGGGATGCGCCGCACGACTTGTCTCAACGGACGATTTGCCGTTGGAGAATGAGGAATCTGTCACTACACCGTACACCGTGGCCGAAATGCAGCAGAGCCGCAGCTCTAGCACTCATAACCGAAACAGCGTATGGCAAAAGCGGGAATGACCGGATGAGATTCCAGAATGCACGGTTCATCTCTGTGAGAGTCGTCGCTCCTGAAGATTTTATGCATGAAGCATCCTGGAATGTGGAGCATGGATTGAGCCTGCTCCTCGCACATTAGCCTAGCTCTTCAGGAAGAAGAGAAGCAGCAAGATGCAAGGATCCTTTTCTGCACGCATAAGAATTGGAGAGGCTGCGAACATGCTGTGAACCAGGAAGCTCACGGGTCCACAGCCCAACCACTAACTGGCAGGTCACAGAATAGCAAAGGCGAAACTGACAACCCTAACAGACGGAAACCCTTTTCATCTCGACTTCCCAGTAGTTACTTCGTACTTGACGAAAGAATATTTGTTTTGAGACGGTCGTAAACCTTCGGATTATGCGGAGTAGAGTTGTTTCGATGTTGGATTCCTTCAAAACGAAAAATGGCGGTTGACCTCTGCCTTAGCGATGACATCATAGGAAAGGGGGGGTTTAGCCGCGTGCCCCTTGTCCTAAGTTAGGGTTATGTGAAAGTTTAGCCCCTTAATTTCAACCTTCGGATATTTATTGCTTATCGTCGCCTGATATAATCGTCGATGACATGTCAAAAAATCTGGAATACGGGGGTGTTTGGATTCTCTCTTTAAAGTTTAACTGTAGCTACTCCCCAGCTGAAACGCTCGGCACGCGACGTCAGAAACCGAGAGTTGGAGAGTATCTGGCGAGTGCAAGCATTGGTTGTACCTGTGCATTATCGATGGACTGCTTCTAAATAGCTGGTATTTTGCATAAAAACAGCGGGTCTGTCGATTTGTTACCCTTAAGAAGACCAACGAGCCAGAACTGCCGCCTTGATGAAGTCCCCTAGTTCAAATGCCCATGAAGAAGACATGGGACCATGGGAGGGACTTTACGAATGCATCTGAGATAATCATCAGAGCGTTGGTTGCCATGAACATGTGTAGAAGACCAAAAGAATATTGGAACCTGGAGTCGAGGCAATGCTGTCCTCAATCACCAGTATGCACAGAGATGCATTTTGAGGGGTTTGTTTATTAGTTAGTTGTTAAATGATCGCTCAATTAGGCCATTTTCATTCTCAAATTAGAACCTAACGGCGGAAGCAATTGCGTGATTTCCCTTACGCAATCGACAAGAAATAGATCATGGTTCATAAAACAATTATGTGGCGTGTAGACATATACATATGAAAACTTCTTCATAACAGAGATCTTGGGCCTGGATATCTTCTCAGGGGCATCGGTCCCCAAATTGGTCTTCTTACCAAGCTGTTGTTGTTGTGGCTTGCAAATGAAGCATTATTCCCAGGGGTCGTTGCAGCTGGAACCACTTCGAACCTAACTGATTTCATTATCTTCGCAACGTCGGTCAGTCTCACTGGAATTCGAATTTCGCCGTCTCTAGTAAATGGAGCCCAAAGATGGCTGGGTGACGAGGGCAAAATTGAGTGATTGGTTAGGGCTATTATGGGCGTAGAAAGGGTTCTGAGATCAGTTGAGAAAGGAGGTTGCGTTCGGATGATATGAGTCGTTTCGGGTCCGTCAACGGGGCCAATTTTCATCTGGAGCGACCACTTTAGCAGTTAGCATATAGCAGGATGGTTCGCAGGTTCCTACTTCATGTCTCAGGGCGTCCAAATGTCCTTGAAGCTGAATGAAGGTACTAATGGCTACCAGAAAAGGCAGTTCTAATAGAGCTACATACATTCATGAAAATAACATCTGGCCTTCGTAAAGCCAGGCCGTGGATACACCGCTGCAGGTGTTCCAATGCCTGCTGACTGGTCGCAGCCACATCAACGGTAACACCTAGCTTTTTGAGGATCTTCTCCATAACCAACCTGTTAATGTCACTATGGGCATTGTTAGCCTATGTCGCGCGGCGTTTTGGAGAAGAGAAAACGATGTGTAAAAGCAGGGCATGCTATAGCCACGGTATATATTCAACTAGGCCATAGGATATGTGATTCTAAGTCTTGAACATACTTATGATCAACTATGAGAGCGTGCATCTTAAATCTGCCGTTGAGATTGCGAGAGCTATTGAGCGATCGAAAAATTCCTGCCGAAGATTCAGGATGTTATCTGGCTGGAGCCGGCAGATCTTGAAGCAATATAGTATATTCTCACGTCAACCCGTATTTCTCAAAGTCATAGACAGTAGTTACATGATGAAAATCTCAGCCTCGAAGGAGTGACATCATTTGCATTTGGTTGGCCTCCAAACACGACCTGGGGTAACTAACAGACCGTTATGAAGAAGACCCGGGAACATTTTGCAACGGCTTTGAGCTGAGGACGCTAGAGCAACCACAGCTCATCTGAACAGCAGACAGTGTAGTTAACTAGTAGTTCACAGAGGAGGAGGGTCACAGAGAGTCTGCTTCCACTCGCCTGTCACTTGGCTTGCGCTCTTCCACTGCCCCTCGGAGTACAGTTTCTCATGATCAAGACATGTGGGCAGTTTACATAATTGCTTCCTCAGTAGTTAGTGGAAATGGAAAGATTTGAAAATAGGACATATCCTGTCGTGTCGTGTAGTTGAAAGATCAGGCTGAGGAAACGTAAGCCAACAATTGAGGTAGTTAGTAACTATGAATTATTTATAGTGTCAAACACAGGCTCTAGGGAATAGATATCAAATTGTTCTTAAAAAAAAAAAAAAAAAAAAAAAAAAAAAAAAAAAAACAAATGACTATCGCCTCATGAGAAAGTAACATATTTATTCTGTGCATAAAAAAAGGAAGATGTTGCCTGCAAGAATGATTGTGCCGATGTCACCTAACTCAAATGCCATTTCAACAACCTCCCTGTCTGCTGCCCCTCCTCCTCGCATACAGACCCCAGTTGATCTGTTTGCTTTATTGACGCAAAACCGCACGTAAACCTTTCAACGGACAATATTAGAATTCCAAAACAGAAATGAAGAAACCGAGTTATGAAAGAAATAAAGAAACAAGGGATTGCTAACGCATGTATTATTCACAAGAGCTTGGCTCCTGGCCTTCCCTTTTTTTTCTTTTTTTCTTTTTTTTAAATCAAAGGCTCAGACTGCTGTCGGCCCAGAGGAATCCAGACCTATAATTTTGGGTCGTTGCAACAATCCCATATGATAAAAAGAACCTTCACTTTCGGTGGGTCCATTAAAAAGCGGAGGAGAGAAGAAGTATGGAATATGTCTTTTTGAATGTGATGGTATCATTGATATTCAGAACAGTACAGCAGTACATACATACATACATACATACATACATTACCTAGGTACTTATATATATTATGGTTATTATTCAAAACAGACAGATACGAAAAGTACGGTATTACTGTCCGCCTGTTTTGAGGGTGTTGTGGAACAGCGGGTATTCGGGCAATGCGAACCTGTATCCGGCCAGTAGTTTGAACCATGTGCTGAGATCAGATAACTTTAGCTGGGTCCCACACGGCTGAAAGTTCGCCCAAATCCGGATCAGATAACCTAAACCAAACGAAACAGCCCGAGAACGAAGCGGATTCACGCATGCCCCAGTCCCAGTCCCAGTCCCAGCGCACCCCCCACCTGGGCTTATCAGATGAGAGCGGAAAATTATCGCCAAGTGTAATTTAGCACATGGCTACCCAGGGTTTTTGCTGTGAATCATTTGGACGTAGGATTTCATGCAATTCTGACATTTCAATACCCCAGCCCCTGTTGGGGTTCCTTTCAGACCTGCGGTACCGGTTGTATTTTTCCGCGGTGGTGGTCAGGAAAGCCCTCGATGTGGACGACAAGACGCCTTCAACCTGTTTTCCTTATTCTTCACAGAAGGAAGGAATGCGTCTCATGTTGACACAGTCAGTTCTCTAAATGGCTTGAATCCACAACTGTGCCAGCCATCCCGTGTCACATTTCTCCCATGATCTCGCGTTTATACCATCTTATATATACCTACACTTCGTCACTTCTCAGCGGCCCACTTCTACACAGGTTATTCCAGGGTTGGACTCTCACTATGCCCAGCCATGAGGGATCCGGGAGTTCCTCCAACGGAGGACCTCCCCAGCAGATCCTAGTGATTGGTGGTTCGTACTCTGGACTTGCGGCAACCGTCAATCTTCTTGATCTATGCCAGGGCCGAAATTGTCGATTTGCTGGTGGGTTGACTTCTGAGTCAGGAGACGTGAAAAAGAAGGTCAATGTGCAGGTAACCATCGTGGATGAGCGAGATGGCTACTGTACGTTCCTCCACGATCCCATTAGATGGCGCAAAATAGGATGCTAACAAGAGGTGAACACCTCACAAGACCACCTCATCGGGACACCACTTGCATTCGCTTCGGAAGAATATGCCTCTTCTGCATGGAAAAGGTTCACAGACATCCCGGCCCTACAAACCCCAGCCGTTAAATGCATCCAAGGTAGTGTCAGACAAGTGGACTGTGAGCGAAAAATCGCCATCATTAGGGAAGCCGTCACAAACAGGGAAATTGCCCAAAAGTATGACTACTTGGTCGCAAGCTCGGGCCTGAGACGGACATGGCCAAGCGCGCCACAGGCTTTGACCAGAGATGAGTATCTTCTTGAAACGGGGAAACATATTGCGAAAACAAAGATTGCAGATAATGGGGTAGTTGTGATTGGTGGTGGTGAGTTTTCCAACAAACTGATCGTAATGCGATAGATAGTACTGTACCCCTTTGACACGCAGGGACACAGATTAACTGAAGAAATAAATTTTACAGGTGCTGTCGGTATTGAAATCGCAGCTGAGTTGAAAATGGTACAGCCGGACCGAAAGATTACCCTGATACATTCGAGACCCAAGCTTCTCTCATCCGAGCCGCTTCCTGACGAGTTCCGCGATCGGGCCCTCAAGCTACTTCATGACTGTGGTGTTGACACCATTATGGGCTCACGGGTCGCTGAAACAACGCAAACACAGTCGAAGGAGGGTGTTCCCCCCATTCACATCGTAAAATTAGCAAATGGTCGTACGATGGAGGCCAGCTACGTCATCAATGCCATATCCAAGTATAGTCCAACTACTTCCTACCTGCCCAATTCCGTGCTTGACAGAGAAGGTTATGTGAAAATTAATGCGACGTAAGCATCACCACCATTACCACTGCTCCCTTTTGTAGAGCAACTGCAGTTTGCAGGCAGTTTCCGACAGCGGCTGACATATATCACTAGCCTAAACTTCCCGGAAGAGGTGCCAAATTCCCAGTACCATTTTGCAGCAGGTGACGTTGCTCTCTGGTCGGGTATCAAACGGGGTGGTAGAGCAATGCACCACGGGCACTACGTTGCCATGAACATTTACCAGCGAATGCTGAGCGAGATGCTTGGGACAGCGCCAAAATTCTCGGAACTGCAGGACCTGCCCCCGTCAATGGGACTGGCTGTGGGGAAAAATGCAGTTGCATATAGTGACTTTGATGGTGTGGTGTCTGGAGAAGAAGTCTTAAAGCTGTTCTTTGAGGATGATTTGGGATTTTTAAGTATGCCTGTCTCCTTTAAATTACCCTTTTTATTTTTCATTTGGTAGAATCTGTACGTCCTAGTCGAGAGGATTGATCTGTGCTAACATTGAAACAACATCGTAGTTTGCTGGAATTATATGAAGCTTGGAGACGCGGCGAACTAATTTATGACACATCTAACTGTTTGGCTGGTATTATGACATGGCGTTTTGATGTCCGGATGGAGTCTGTACCTACCATCTATGACTAGGGTTTGAGATTGTTTTGGTAGTTAACGGTTTGATGAAGAAGAAGAAGAATATATAACGTTTTGTTGTCTTACAGCTCCTACAGTGCTTTCAATTGGAATCCTCTTCTTTCCGGATATTTTAGATAGTCCGGTACTGCTGCTCATGCAATTATCTAGAGAATTACACAACATATTGAATATCTTAACAGCTATGAGATTTCTATAGTTAATACACTAAAATTAAAGCAGCCATGACATAAATGAGTCAGCAACCTTTATGAAAATCATATACCAAACAAAGCGTTAAAGAAAATACTCTATGAGAGTGGAAAAAGCACCACGAACAATCCCGAAAGTACATACAAACGCCCATTTAACAGTTACCGTTGATCTACGATCCAAGCATTTCAGAGATCATTCAAATGCCTGATGCAGAGCATTAATCTTATAACTCTCGCTTCGCTCCACCAATTCTGCATGAGTACCCTGATCAGTGCATTTTCCATCCTCAATGAGAAATATAACGTCTGCTTTTCGGATAGTATACAGTCTGTGCGCAATGGCGATAACAGTGATACCTCGGGTTGCTGTCTCTAGGCCAGCTTGAAGCAGTTGCTCGGATTCTGCGTCGAGTGCACTTGTTGATTCGTCAAGGAGCAGCAGCTGGGGCTTCCGGACGAGCGCGCGTGCAATTGCAAGTCGCTGCTTCTGTCCGCCTGATAATTTGTTTCCGCCAGGTCCGCAATTCGTGTCATACCCTTCCGGTAGATTACGTATGGTGTCGTGAATATTTGCCAACCGGCATGCCTCTTCAATCTCCGCATCTGTTGGTATATGGCCAGGCCTTGCCCCAAGGGCAACATTGAACCTGATGGTGCCGTCAAATAGCACACTATCCTGAGGAACAAGGGAAATATTATCGCGGAATGAGACACCTTCGCGTTTGGAGATATCTTGGCCATCAATCTGGACGCTGCCAGAGCTCGGCGAGTACAGTCTTTCAATAAGTGATATTATGGTGGACTTTCCTGCACCGCTGGGACCAACCAGTGCTGCAAATTGCCCGGGTTTGACACGGAGATTAAGACCATGGAGAACCGGGACGTCTGGACGGGCCGGATAGGAAAATTTCACGTTGTCAAAATAAACACCGATGCCTCCGTGATTTAAACTATAGAGTTTCTCCTTTGAATCGGCATTGGCTTCAACATCATTGAGACCTCTCCCGAGCGGTTGAATCGGGCTAGAGAACTTTTTGGTTGATCCCAGGTCGAGGAGGTTCATAATTCGAGCTAATGCAGTGAAAGCACGCGATACGTCTGGCGCCAGTGTGAACATCTGACCCCAAAGTTGTGCACTGACGAGAAGAGCCACTAGCACAATAAAGAACTGAGTTTGAGAATAGTCGCCGGCAATGATTCGTTTGGCTCCCCACCAGTAGGCAAGTGCGTACAGAAAATTGCTGAGGCCGTATGCAATTGCTAGCCAAAGGTTAGCATAGGCGCTTTGCTGCGCAATTTCCTTGACTGGGCCTTTTAAAGAGCGCTTATATGTTTTCAAGATTTCATGTTCCAGGGATAGGGCAGACACGGTTTTGATGAGGCTGACTGCTTCGACTGTTATTCCAAGCGACTTTGCGAATGATTCAGCGTGCCGTGCTTGGAATCGTGTCATCGTCATTACTCGCATGACGCCCGCACCAAGCATCAGAGGAACAACAGAAAGACAAACCAATGCAATTTTCCATGCAATGACGTGAGATAGGACGATCGCAGAAACCAGATTAACCAAAATCGCAACAATGGAGCCAACCACAGACCCAGTAAGGCCCGACAGCGCATTACCATCCTGGGTGATGACCGAGAGGAGGAGAGTGGGGCTCCGCCCGTCAGACTGATGCCATTGCAGGTCCTGCTCCATTAGAGCCCTGAAAGAGAGAACTCGGACTTTATACGTGATTTTTTCGGCAATCAATCCAAACGCGGACCAACTTGCAAGATTAGCAAAAAATTCAATAATGGCGAGGGTGAAGAACATCAATCCAAAAAATCTTCCCGCAGATCTGATTGAATCTGGCATTTTGCAAGGACTTAATTCGCCGACCGTGCTGCCGAAGATGACTGCAGCTGCAGAATACGTACCACCTACAACGACAGCGCTGACCAAGGCTAGAAGGACGAAAAGAAGATATGGACGGAACATTGGGCCGAGAGCTCTAAGCGTGGACAATATGGAGCGTTTCGTGTTTATACCATTGGAATCTTCTTCCTTCGGTGTGGGTGCCTCAAACGAGTGCTTCTCATCAAGTCTGCCTTCTACAACAGGGGAACTGTGGGTAACTTTCTCAGATACATTTTCTATCGAATCCTCCACCATTAGCGTCTCGCTCGAGATTCCCGCCTGCTCTGGATGTGCGTTGAGATTCTGTAGACGCACAAGACCAGCGTATGCTCCATCTTTTGTAATCAGCTCTGTATGCGTCCCCTGCTCAATAACTTGACCTTGATTCATAACAACAATATTATCTGCATTCTGAATGGTGGATAGGCGATGGGCAATGGTGATCAAGGTTTTCCCGCCCATTACGCTCTCAATTGCAGACTGTACCCTTTGTTGGCTGGCGGAATCCAGGGCGGCAGTAGCTTCATCAAGGATCAGAAGTTTTGGGCCTTTAACCAAAGCTCGGGCAATGGAAATTCTCTGCTTTTGACCGCCTGAAATTAAACTACCACTTGAACCGACAAGCGTACCATAACCATCCTTCAGACGGCCGATAAATATACCAGCATCAGCAAGTGCTGCGGCCTTCTGGACTAGTTCCACGATTTCGACGACCTCTGGGCCTTGGATTTGTGCCGCTCGCGTTAGGTCGTGTCCATCCCTGATGGCAGCGGCGACGTCAGATAGTTTCTGCCCCAACAAAGTGGCGGTCAAGTGAGAATGGGCTGGGGAATTAATTAAACCTAGAGCAATATTCTCCAAGATCGATCGATCGAGAAGGGAGGGCTCTTGCTGAACAAGGCTGAAGTTGCTTCGTATGGACCGGACATTGAGTTCTTTGATGTTATGGCTGTCAAAAAGCACTTCTCCATCTGTTGGATCATATAGACGCGTAATCAGCCCAGCGACAGTTGACTTCCCGCTTCCAGACAGACCAACAATTGCTGTATGCTTTCCTGCTGGGCATGAAATTGAGACACCCTTAAGCACGGCGTTCTCGGGACGGGACGGGAAAGAGAAAGAGACATTCTTTAATTCGATGTCACCGACAGAATTCGGGAGAGTCAACCCCCTATCGTCTACTGTACCGTCTATTTTTGATTCACGGTTCATATCCTTATCTAATTTTTCGAAAGTGGCGCCGGCTGCATCAAAGATTTGGAGGAACGGAGCTACCTGACTTAGGATCAAGGAAGCTTGAAAATGATGTGTTAGCGGAAAATCTCATTGTCCTTGATGGAAAATTGAAGCACTCACCATCGACTAGAATAAAGATTACTGTGTAAGTGGTCCCGACAGATGTTCCAGAATTCCCAGTAGCAATTGAATCTGCAATCGTTTTCGAGCCTTGCCAAAATGCAAGGGCATTCGCCGAGTATGCAATGAAGAACAGCAATCCGGACTGGGAAGCTACTGCAATTGCTTTCTTAATTCCAGCCACTTTTGCATTGCCCAGGAGGACCGCAAATTTTGATTCTAGCTGTGCATTCGCTGAGAAAGCATGCACAACTGTTGCATTTGATAATGATTCCATCGCAACAGAAGCCGCTCCAGCCACATTTGTCAACACAACAGAGGCATACTTCTGTGTGTAATAACCGCCTACAAGCGACATAAGTAGGTATGCCGGTGTTAGAGACACTAACTCTCCACCAAGTTTTGCGTCCTTAATAAAAGCGACAATATAAGCGGTGATGAGGAAAGAAACGCTGTTGAGGACAATGCCGACTTTCTCAGAGGTTCCCTGCTGAATGGTGGTTATGTCCCCCGTAAGTCGCGAAGCGGCTTCCCCTGCTGGCATTTCCTCGAAGAAGGAAACATCTTGCCGTAATAAGCTTTTGAAATACTGCTCACGAAGCCTCTGGGCGAGACGTTCACCAAACAAATTCCACGAGGCCACGTATATATACACCAATACAAAGTAGGCGATTCCGACATACACCACTTTGAGAACCTTGTCATTGACTTCTGCTTGATGCGATGGCCCACTTTGGGAATTTGCACTGCAAGACGCAGAGTTGAGGTTGTCGACCAATTGACCGAAGAGGATACCCATGAGAGGGAAGGGCACACCAGAGGCAATCGCAGCTAGCATACCGACGCTGAGAAGCGTGAGGTCAACAGCGGTGGGCTCCGCACAGATCAGAAGGCGAGCATATCTGGTAGCTCGTCTAATAAACTGCACAATAATCATCTCTTTTAGCCTTGTTTCCATACATATATTCGGTCGGCTATTTATACAGTACCTTTTGATTCTCTACGGCTCGAGAATCGCCAGCAGCCCCCGAGGCTTCAGCCATGATGATCGTTGGACAGCAGTGAAATCCTCCTCCCAGACGGCTTTGATCACCAATGCGATATTAACTGCGAGCAAAAGCTGGTGAGAATCGATGCACCCTGGGAATAAACATATCGCTGCGCACAAAAGGTTTGAAGTTCCCGGATCTATCGACCCTAGCTGCCCAGCTTCGCTCCCACGAAGAGTTCTCGAGTGTTGCCGTTTTTCTGCATTCCCGCTTGTGTGGATCAACAACGACCGCCAAGCAAACCTACAAGGGGCTGTTGTCATTGCTGTTTTTCTGGGTGGTGGCTTTGTTCGGGTTTTCAAACAGGTTGGTTGGTTCCAAACACTCCGGAATCAATCTTATCAGATGGTATTGTACGGAGTACGTATCGCGTAACTCTGTATCGACAGTACTGTATTGTACATACATACAATACAGGCAGTACATACATTGAAACGAGCTGAAGTGAGCGTATTCGTGCACGGATCAGATAAACCATCTGCAACCATGCCGCGACATCGGAGATGGTTGTCATCTTATCTGATGGAATAAACTCCACCAATAACACAAATTGCTTGGGCTTCGGCTTGTCTCCATAATGATGCGAACATCAATGAAACGATAATATGAGAGAGCGCCTTTTCGTGGCTTTTTCTCCCCTGTGGAGCTGATTCTTTTCAACTCCACAAAGCCAGTCACAATCAGGGAGCAGGGCAATACACCGTCATTGGATGGGGTAGGTTTTACGTTCCATTCTCGGCCCATCCATGAGGATATTCGACTATCTGTGTGGGTAAGTCCTTAGCCGCTATTTACCGCTGGTCTCCATTAGGGGTTGTTTTGCAAAAATGGATCCTCGCCAAAAATGAAATTGAAAAACGAAGGTCAATAGTCCAATACGCGATATGGACTGTTTTGGAGTAAAGTTTCCATCTTTCACTTCACAAGCCAAGGGTACCTTGGTAGGAACGAACGTATGACGCATTGCACAATGTATTCTGACGGCAGGCCTGAGGTGACGAACCAGCGTAAGGATACAATAATTAAGGTGGAACTTGGTTGCAATTGTGATAAAATACCAAGGTGGCAAAATGTAAAACTGCTAGGTGTAGGGGAGTGTTTGGTATGGAGAAATCGCCCTGCTCAGACGTTGTGTATACCATGGGATGATAAAGTCATCACATATTCTTCGAATTCGAAAAAGGCACCAGCAAGGACAACAACTGGCTGCCAACTTCAGGAATCAATTGTACTCGATTGCACCATGAACAGCAATCTATCCCCAGGTGAAGATGTCAAAACAAACGGAGGCGTTCACTTAAACGGTGATGCAGATGGTAGGGTAGATGCCATCTCGATCGAGCAACCGCTTTTTCTTAACCGGAACATGGAGGACCAGCTTGACCTCCTGGTTTTGGCGTGGGTATTGCTTCTGTACCGCGGCAGTGGACTCAGTGAGGATGGAGAATTTGCGTGGGGCCTTACGGAAGCATCAAACGACGAATTTTCCAATTTCAGACCCAAATTCTCCGGCAATATCATTGATATCATCTCGGGGGAGAGCGATCACATCTCTAAACCCCTAGAGTCCATCCGAGCAAGGCGTCCCAGCATCTCCAATGACGAACGAAAGCAGTTGAAGGATTATTCCATTTTCTTCACAAATGTGGCTCACACCGCGGAAAAGTATGGCGATGTAAGTTATTTTGAATTTCATTACGCAGCTTTGCGAGATCGCCCTGGCTGAACCCTGGATATAGCTAGCATTTGCCGTAGAAATATCCGTATCTGGGGAGAAGTTGTATTTGCAGCACCACGGGCAACATTCCACATTATCTCGGAACGCAATTGAAATCCATGTCGACGGATTCATTGATATATTTAATTCGATAGTCGTAAACCTGGACATGACCGTGGCTCAGGCTATGCAAATTGGGGATCGTGAGTTGCAACAACTATGGAAATGGAATGCGATCGTCCCTCCGGAAATTGATGAATGCATCCACGTTACGTTCATGAAAAACGCCCAAAAAAATTCTAATCGCATGGCGGTTGTCTCGTGGGATGGGGAGCTATCATACGGAGAGGTTGATCGCTTTTCAACGCAGCTGGCAATACGTCTTATTGAACTGGGTGTCAAAATAGGGACGGCGGTGCCACTCTGTTTTGAAAAGTCAATGTGGACTGTTGTTGCTGTGCTCGCTGTGATGAAGGCGGGTGGAGCCTTGGTGCTCACGGACCCTGGTCAACCAGAGGCACGATTGGAGACCATAGTGACGGAAGTGAGTGCAAATCTTATGTTGACTTCCGTAAAGCAGGAGGAGCTGGGACATCGACTTCTGCCCAGAGGAACTGTTCTCGCCGTTAGCCATCACATTTTCCAATCAGAGCAAAATTCATGCTTCACAGCCGCCTTGCCGTCCGTTCCTGGGTCATCTACGTTGTATATTATTTTCACTTCAGGAAGTACCGGTAAACCGAAAGGCGTCGTGATATCGCACGCCAACTACGTCAGTGGTGCATTGCTCAGAGCGGAGGCTGTAGGTTATGGACCACACTCACGCGTGCTCGATTTCCCGTCGTATGCCTTCGACGTCAGTATCGATTGCATGTTGTGCACCCTCGCACATGGAGGTTGTGTCTGTGTACCCTCCGAAGATGACCGAGTAAACAATCTTAGCGGTGCAATACGTAATATGAAAGTTAACATGGCCCATATGACACCGTCAGTTGCAAGAGTACTCGAATCAGATATTCTACCATCTCTTGAAGTCCTTGGTCTAGGTGGAGAGTCCGTTTCTGCCCGAGATGCGGCCAACTGGGGTAGGTTCACAAAGATCATTATTGCATACGGTCCTTCGGAGTGCACGGTTGGATGCACAATTAACAATGACGTTCACATTGATCGGTCATACACCAGCATCGGCAAGGGCGTTGGCGGCGTTACATGGGTGGTGGATCCCGCAGATCACAATCGCCTGATGCCTATCGGAGCCATTGGAGAACTCATTATTGAAGGACCAATTGTCGGCCAAGGTTATCTTAATGATCCAGTAAAGTCCTCAACTGTTTTTATCAAGGATCCCACGTGGCTAGTTTCCGGTGGAGGAGGGATCCCTGGGCGACACGGCCGTTTCTATAAAACAGGTGATCTCGTACGATATGGTCCAGATGGTTCAGGCTCCATAGTATTCGTTGGCCGAGGCGATCAACAAGTAAAGCTCCGGGGACAGAGAGTGGAACTAGGGGAGGTTGAACATCATCTGAGGATGAAGTTACCTGCTGGAACCACGGTTGCAGCGGAGGTTATCACACCGGGTGGAATGAAGGGAGAGCCAACTTTGGTCGCATTTATAGCCCAAGAAAATACACCGAAAGCACGGGGACAGGGCGAAATAGCGGCATTTTCCACAGAACTTCAGCATGTTTTAAATATCATGGACAAGGAGCTTGCAGCTTCCCTTCCTCGATATATGGTGCCAGCAGCATACATTCCACTCTTCGAAATGCCATTGTTAGTATCGTGCAAAACAGATCGAAAGAAACTCCGGGCCATTGGATCTGCTATGTCAAGGAAGGAGCTTATAAAACTCAGGACGTCCACGGAACAGGCGCGAGAGCCGCAGTCGGAGATGGAGCGGAAGTTGCAGCACATCATGATAGATTTGTTTGGCAAAGAAGCGGACATTAACGTGCAAAGCAATTTCTTCGATTTGGGGGGCGATTCACTCATGGCGATGAAGTTGGTGGCTGCTGCACGCCGGGAGAACATTTTAACAAGTGTGGCTGACATCTTCCGATATCCAACGCTCTCTGAGCTGGCTTTAACTTTGAAGCATACCGACGATGTCGACGTACACACCGAAGTACCACCATTTTCACTAATAGACTCGACCTGGCAAGCGGAAGATGCTCGTGTCGAAGCAGCAAATCTTTGCAGTCTTAACGCATCGTCGATAGTGGATATGTACCCCTGTACTCCGCTCCAGGAAGGGCTAATGGCTCTTTCGGCAAAAATCAGCGAAGCTTATGTTGCTCAAAGAGTTGTTGAGCTCAAAGATATCCAAACGGCAGAACGGCTTCAGAGGGCGTTTGAGACTGCCGTCGCTGACTCGGCGATCCTACGGACCCGTATCGTGCAAGTTCCTGGCCATGGTCTCATGCAAGTTGTGGTCAGGGATGAAATCTCGTGGCGGTCAGGTCGAACATTAGAGGAGTACTTGGCTCAGGATCGAAATGAGCCAATGGGATTGGGCACAGAACTTGTCCGTTTCGCCGTTCTCCCTAATAAAAAAACAAATGGGGCTCATTTCGTCTTGACGATACACCACGCACTTTATGATGGTTGGTCGATGCCATTGATCGTCAGGCGCATCAATAGGGCGTACAACGGGAAAGAAATAGAACGACCAGTATCGTTCAATTCCTTCATCAAATATCTTAGTGGCCTCAACAGCAACGAGTCCAAGAGCTACTGGAAAGCACAGCTACAAGGCGCCACCAGTTTACAGTTTCCATCTCTCCCATGGCCCGGCTACCAAACACAGCCTCAATCTCTGCTTGAACATTACGTTCCAATAAGCAAGCCCTTAATATCAAGCACGAGTATTGCAATTGCCATTCGGGCAGCCTGGGGCTTAGTTGCAGGGGCTTATACAGCCTCCGACGATGTCATCTTTGGAGAAACCCTGACAGGTAGAAACGCCTCAGTTGTCGGCGTTGACAAAATCGAAGGGCCTATGATTACCACAGTGCCTGTTCGCGTACGAATTGATAGAAATTCACGAGTTAGCGAATATCTACGAAAAATCCAGGATGACACAGCATTTCGTATCCCCCATGAACACATGGGCCTGCAGCATATCCGACGCCTAAGCCCCGACGCACGCGAAGCTTGCGAGTTAAGGACTGGCATTGTGATCCACCCAATGGCTACTGAGGATGACACGAGCATAACAGGAGAAGGGCCAGCAAATGGCTTTGTCCCGGCAGGAGACGAAGATGCTGCACGTGAGGCACTGAAATTTAATACATATGCACTCATGCTGGTCTGCTCTCTTGACCCCAAGGGTTTCCTTGTAATGGCCAGTTTTGACTCAGCAACCATTGACGTGACTCAAATGGATAAGGTTCTGGGACAATTCGGACGAACTGTACAGAGACTTTTTGACGACTCAGGGGAACTGGTAAGCAACTTGCAGTTAATGTCGGAGGAAGATCTAGCTGAGGTATGGCATTTCAGCAATACTAGCAAATACTTGGATGAAGGAGTATTGGGAGCCAACTGCTCTGGTGCAACAGCAACTTGGGTGGTTGACCCTCAGAACCCAGAACGATTACTTCCCTTTGGGGCAATAGGAGAGCTTCTAATCGAGGGGCAGTTTAAATCTGCCACCTCCACATCGATCCAAAGCACAAACTGGCTTGCCGCTGGATGTCGGGATATGCCGGGAAGGAGAGGAAAGCTTCATGAAACGAGCCAGCTGGTCAAGTACAACAGTGACGGTTCACTAGTTTTCAAAGGCCAAAAGTCCGACGTGATCAAATCCAACATAGAAACAGAAAAGCGAGAAGTCAAGAAACGTCTCCATGCCACGACATCAGAGCAGCAGAAGTTGCAAGAGCTCTGGAGCCGTATACTTGGCATTAACAAAGAGGAGGTTGACCTCAACGACAACTTCTTTGACCTCGGTGGCGATTCTATTAGCGCCATGAAGCTGGTTTCTGAGGGAAGAATGGAGGGACTTGAGCTGACTGTAATGCAAGTCTTCCAGCACAGACGACTTTCGGATATGGCGGATATTGTAAAAGATTCGCTGTCTCTCTCAACACCAGCCAAAGCATACGTTCCGTTTTCAACACTAGATATCTCAGATATTGAAACGTTCATCTCCGAGTCCATCCGACCAGCCCTTGCAGACCCAAGCTGGATAATAGCGGATATACTACCTGCACGCCCCCTCCAGGAGATCGCCGTGGATGGGACTACAAAACTCCCCCGTTACTCCGCGCGATACGAGCTATTTTACCTAGATGCAGCAGTTGATAGACCGCATCTATTCAAGAGTTGTCAGGAACTCATATCCCGAAACGAAATTCTCCGGACGGTATTTGTCAAATCCCGAGGGTCCTGTTTTGGTGTTGTGCTTCAAGACCTCCAGCTACCTTTAGTCGAATATGAGATAGATGGGGACCTGGAGACCTTCGCGGAGCAGCTCTGCAATCTCGATGTCCAAATGGTGATGCCACTGGGCTCGCCATTTATAAAATTCCTGTTTGTTCGGTGTTCTGACGGGAGAAGCTGTCTGATCATGCGTATTTCCCATGCCCAATATGATGAAATCTGTCTGCCCATTTTGTTACGTCAACTCTCCGCTCTATATGAAAGGAGATCGCTCCCTTCTGCCCTACCGTTTTCATCTTTTGTCCACCATGTTGTTCGAGAAAATATTCCCAAAAGTATTCAATACTGGCGCGATCTGCTGAAGGGAGCTTCGATGTCAATATTGCGTCCATCTACCCCGCTAGAATCCAAAAAGTCGGTTTTTATATGCAAAACATTCGATATCTCGTCTCGCCCCAAAGATATCACCATTGCCACTCTCCCGTCGGCGGCTTGGGCACTTTGTCTGGCTCGCCGGTTGGCGGTTCGCGACGTCACTTTTGGGGAAGTGGTTAGTGGTCGCAACATCGATCTTCCCAACTGCGACACTGTCATGGGCCCAACCTGGCAATACGTCCCTGTCCGCATAAAATTCGAGCCTGGCTGGACGGGAGTCGACCTTCTCAACTTCGTCCAACACCAGCACATTTCTAGCACTCGTTTCGAAGGCATTGGGTTGAAGGAAATCGTCAAACATTGTACTGACTGGTCCGAGACGGTAGACTGGTTTGACTCCGTGGTACACCAGGACGTCGAGCACGTGGAAAGTTTAGCGTTCTTATCGGCGAACAGTCGAATGGATACGATATATCCACACTTAGAACCGCTGCGTGAGTGGAAGATACAAGCCTTCCCGAAGGGCGACAGTTTGGGTATCGAAATCGTCACCTTTGAGTCTTGGCGCGCGGAGGCTAATTCAATCCTCAATGAACTGGGCGACATAATCTCACAACTGCTGACCAAGCGTAATTCAGCTCTTTTCTGGACTGACAAGACGAGCAGCAACCCCCGCCCACGATGCTCCGGAGCCTATTTTGATGCCTCAAGAGATATCTGTCGTAATTATAACATGCTAGAGAAAATAAGTTCACGCCAAGTTTCCAGCAGCGTCGCTGAAGGAGAACGCCTCTGGAGTGCTGAAAACCGCTTTTGAAAGCCCCGAAGTGTGGATGATCATTATGTTTGCCCGCCCGCATCTTTGTCTTGCCTTCTTCCCCCTTCTCCCTCCCTGTTTTAGTTTTTTTATTTTATATTTTATATTTTATAGTTTATAGTTTATATTTTATTTTCTCAATATGGTTTTTTGGGGGAGTATTTGAACTATTCTCGATCAATCAAAAAGGGAGGTGCAGACTTAGCGACATCGATCAATGCCTCTGTCATTTGCTGTGTATGGGAACTAGTTATGGGAAGGATATCTGGGGATGGCCTCCCAATGCTCTGCTACATGTCACCTTCTCAGTTTTGTACCTGTCATTGTGGCAACTATCTGTCCAACTCTTCCCCCCCCAACTCTCCAATGCCCTGGTCATCCAAGATATGCGTTTTGCCTGGAGTAAGCCATAGCTGCGAACGTGCCTCGCAGGTATTGATCACTATAATGCGCTTTTCTAAAACACTATGGCCACCAGCCACGGGCAAACTTCAAGGAAATAGGGGGGGTAAATCATGTCGACAGGCGAAACTGAAACTCTACCCTTGTTCTTGGTGTGACTGGGCTACATTTCATCCATTATCTGTTAGGTGATAGGATTTTACTATCACTGCTGTAATTTTTGAAATTGCATCTTTCAAGACCCGTGTATGGTATATTGGTGGAAGTGGTGAAATTATTACCTGCTCGAAAATTGTATCTGTTCCTCCCTTTCCCTTCTCTCCCCTTGGCCAGCACTATAGTAAAGGATCCTATTTTACAGTACATGTATGAATCGATTTCGTGCTATACTGCTTTGATATACGTGGAAACATAGATATTTGTATGATGGCCAGGCTGATGACAGATCCCGTACTTAAAGATGGTTGGTGAACTCTTTCGGGACTTGATCGAGCTGAATATCATCGCTGAAAAAAAATGATATTGTTAAATGTCAAGGTGATACTAAGTGCAGGGCAAAACTGAGGACATTATTTCAGCGGCTATAGAGGAGGAAATTGTGAGGTGGGGATTTCCCCCTTCATGTCTGTTTGAGAAGGTTTTACGATGCTCGATGTTGGTGTTCATGCATCAGGGGCCTTTTTGGTTTTCTTCAAAGTCATTGCAAAAAGAGGGATGGTATGAAAAGTGAGTGAGATGAGCAAATAAAAGTTAGAATTAACTTGGTGCATGGAAGCTCTTGTTTTACTCAATAAAGATGCAGATATAATATTGACATTCAATAATTTGACAATGGGCTCGCAAGTGCCCTTCCAAGCTTCACATTCTGACAGCGGAGTTGATCTGGTCTACTCATACGTGGAGTAGTTATATAACTCCATCAGATAAGGCATGTGGATCAAAGCAGGAAACTTCCACTTGTGCTATTTCCACCGCACGCATAACTACTGACTGGGAAAGGTGAGTAGTGGCTCTTGATCTATTCAGTCAATTGACGGAGAAAACTTATTTATATAAATTAAAGATCTTAACGATGGATTATCTTTTTTTAATTTGTCAAAACATGATAGACATAAAACATGTCCCTTTCCTTGTCCATAGAACATATTCATGCCCGCATCGATTCCTTTCCCCTCACTCTTCTTCTCTGCACCCCCCTGTTATCACATCCCTTCATCCATGGAATTTTCTATTTTCAATCTACGAAACCTCCCGAGGATAGATGATGCACTGTAACGTAATTGTTCACCAAAAATGGAATGTCCTTGCCCCGTATTTTTGTTGAAATACATAGAAGTATAGAACTTTCTATCTCCACCCACGTAAATACAGATTCAAGTATTTATGGTATGTATGTAATGTATGTAAATAAGAAATTTAATCTTTTCACAAGTTTTATCTTACAGTAACTCCCTACAATTTGTCCAAGAGGTCCTTACATAGGATGAACTAAATTGGCGCCAAACATGTCCCCGCACGAGTTTGATCAGATAACAAAACTCCTGCAAGCAAATGAAAAATAATTTCTTTTCTTCGTTTCTTTGTGAAGGTCTGCTAAAATGTTATTCGCAATTGTACCGTCTTTTCCCATTGTCCTCTGAGAGCTCTTGCTATTCCTGTATGGTTTTGACATGGAAACAGCTCGATTAGTTCATTGAAGCGGTGTGTGGTCCTAGAACTCCGAACAACCGAGAGCTTTGACCCAAATCCTGCACAGCTAGGGTCCTCTTATTATTCTGCTTGCCACGTTACATGGTCCTCGGGGAGGGAGGATGGCACCTTTGCATTCCTGGTGTTACATTTCTTGGAGCGGGAACACTCGGAATTGCATCAAATTCTTTGCAATTGCCGACGTGATCCGGGAAGAACGACGGTGAGGCCTTCTCGAATAGTCCCCCTGTTCCATGTCCTTGTCATCCGCGTGGTAGACATAACAATACATTTTGAGGTTTTAAGTACCTTGGTTGAACCCACAACAGAGGTTTTTCAGTGGTTTCTTGACAACCGGGTCAAATCGGGATGTTTGTCATATTGACCACCCCGCCTGTCGGCTCGTTCGTGTGTTAAACGATCTGATAATGCATTCGGAGCGGCAAATTAATGGCGTTTTCCAAGAAAACTTAAAAAGCAGTGAAGAAAAGAGTAATCTCGCTAATCATTCGTTGATGGTTGAGTTTATTGATTTGTTATCTTATCTGATGCGCTCTGACCTTGGGTTGAACCACGGAAGAGGAAAGTCAATAATATGACTAATAATATCGACCAGATATCGTTATCAGATGATCTGATTAGATATCCACGATCTGTAACGCCAAGCTACAGAGTGCAACTGACCGTAATAGAGTTATACTCGTATTGCCAGGTTAGCAAAAATACTGTACTGTACATCTGGAACTTTTTTCACGGACCGCACGGTATTATAAACATGACCCTGGTCTTAGTGGAAAGTTGTATTTTCCACACCTGGGGAGGCATATTATGTATGTACGTACACAATACAATAGCCAGGTGTGAAGTCCAAATTTCCGGGCATTCGTGGATATGAACCGAGGAGTGTAGAAGCAACACCCATAGCGGTTTCTTCTATCCGGGTCGATGGAGTGGAGGCCCCCTGCAGTATTAAGGTGTCAACACATGGATCGTGGATTGGTTCTTGCAGAGGAGAATATTGAAGAATTTCCCCTTATTGGATCCATCTCTACTCTAATCGACTCCCCGACCTTTTATATTTTTGAATAACTTCGGAACTTACCTCTTTTTCCTTTTCGTACCCTGCCGTCTATTCGCAGGTGCATACTGTACAATGAGCTCACTACCTGAGATGCGCGACCTGCCGTTTGTGCGGCTCCCGGAGCCATATAAAACAAAATATGAGCTTTACCAAGCTTCCTCCGGACCCAATTGGAAAATTTTTCAGCTTAGATTGTCAACAGATCAAAACAATGGAGCCACAAACCCCCCGGACCCTCTTCACAATGACATGCTATATTTCAGCGAGTTGATTCCGAGCCCCGAGTCTACCTTACCAGCTCAATCAGACAACACCGCCTGGGCGCGAGCATGTCGCAATCTAGTCTCATTCGTGACTTGGGATGGAGATTTCGCACCGACTGTCGGTCAAATATGGATGATGGTTTATGCGATCTTATCCATGAGACCATCGGAAGAGTCCTTCCGACTATCCTTGTCGGGAGCGCAGAAAGATCTCCTGTACGCAGAAATCAACGCGACTGGGCTTTCCACCAAATTTCCCAATTCAACTCAGTCGCAGCCTTCGAACAGAATTAACGATATTTTGGTCTCAAGGGCTGCCTTCTGGCAAGGCGCCGGCTCTCCACTAGGGACACGGCCCGCCTGGCTTGCTACTCCGCAGGCAAGCTGTGCTAGAATACAGACATCCCAATATCCAGCGTTCCCTCTACAGTACACTTTGACCTCGCAACTCAACGATCGCCCTGTCCATGCACTACATCCTGTCCGTCCGGCAAAGCCTGCCCGTGGTGCACCAATATATAGTAGGTACATTCCGCACTTGGATGAGTTTTTCGCCATGGATCATCTCGACTACACGAATGAGACGCATCTCGAGTTGTTCCATAAATGGCAGAATGACCCTCGAGTCGCTGTCAACTGGAAAGAGACCGGCACGCTGGACGAACATCGCGAGTATTTGCGAAAGATTGATGAGGACCCGCACCAAATGGCTGTATTGGCACGGTTTGACGATACATATTTCGCCTATTTCGAAATCTATTGGGCCAAGGTATGATCTGTTCTACCAATCTGGAAGATTTTTCTTATTCTTCATATACCTTACTCCTCCCCGGATAGGTTGTTTTGCTATCATATATCACAAGCTAACTTTTTTCTTCTTTTTTTTTTTCAATTAGGAGGACCACATGGGTACATATTACCCGGCCCTCGATTGGGATCGTGGCCGGCATTCATTGGTTGGTGATGCGCGATTCCGTGGACCGCATCGGGCAATGGCGTGGTGGACCAGCCTCATCCATTACATTTTCCTCGACGAACCCCGCACTGTTTGTGTTGTGGGCGAGCCCAATGCAGCTAATGGACCGGTGTTGGGATACGATGCTGCACACGGGTTTCATGTTCACAAGTGGGGAGACCTACCCCATAAGAGGTCAGCGATGGTGAGGTGTGAGCGGGTGAGGTTTTTCGAAGTGGTTAATTTTGGCAGTGTAACCAGCAATGGGACGGCGAAGCAGCATACAAGCAAATTGTAATAGATAGCTATAGCTGTGGGCGTTGGAATGATGAACGGATATACATTACCTCCGAATTCGGATATCGCTAAAGCACGATTTCATGTATATTGATTCTTTGCACGGAATTTAGCCGACATTAACCATCTCTATAAAGGTGGGGATGAAGCAGAACGATCCAATGGCTATAAAAGCTGTGTGAAATCCGCGGACATGAGCAGGGAAGAGAGCAACGTTTTGAAATACAGTGGTTATTCTAATTGGATTCTACGCTATTCCTCCCGTCTGATAGATTTTGCTTGAGACCAATGAACATGGAAAAAACTGATAGTTAGCGTCGCGATAAACGTCGTCTAAGAGCCGCGCGTTTAATATGATACGGGGCACCCCGGCTCAAGCTGAGGGACAGGGGAATTGCTCGCTCGCTTTGATGCTTCCAACTCCTTTTCAAGCCAAAATATCATAAGCAATGGAGAGATCTCTGAGAACTAAATAAAGAATGTTGTCGTTAAACCGACTCTTTGGATCTATTTCAGTTATGTATCTACACTACATTGCACCAGTGGACTTCGTACCATTTCAAATTAGCTTCCGTCCCAGATCTCTTAAAATCTGCTTTTGGACCTTGCCACTGCCAGTCTGGGGTATATCTCCTGGAAGCCTTGGATCCGAGCCGAATACAAACACGTGCTTGGGTGCTTTATGCCCCCCGAGCTTTTTGCGGGTCCAGTCCCTGATTTCGTCGTCGGACGGGCAATCGTGGCTTTCCTCGAGGGTCAAGAACGCGCAGACAACTTCCCCATAATATTTATCTGGAAGTCCAACCACTGCAGCTCGCGAGATGGCTGGATGTGCTGTGAGTCGCTCTTCGATTTCTAGAGGATAGATATTCTCTCCTCCCCTGATAATGATGTCCTTGAAGCGCCCCGTGATGCTACAATAGCCCTTAGAGTTGAACACGGCCTCGTCGCCGGTGCGCAGCCATATCGTGCCATCCTCATCTTCTATCAGTGCTTCTGCAGTTTTCTCTGTGTTTTCCCAGTACCCTTTGTGTATTTGATATCCAGCCATGCAGAGTTCTCCCCGCTCACCCACTTTCACCGTCTCCCCCGTGTTGGGATTGATTATTTTGGCACTAGCATGCGGAAGGACTGTGCCCACCGTCGTGAGCCGGGTGTCAATCGAGTCGCTGGTAAACGCATTAAAGCACGTGGGTGATGCCTCAGTCAAACCATAGCTGCTAGTGAACTCCGTCATATTAAGCTCATTCCATAGACGTTTCATAAGCGGGCGAGGTACTGGGGCCCCGGCTATGATCCCCGTCCGAAGTTGTGAGCAGTCGAATGTGTCTGGTCTTGGGAGTGCTAGGATCGCCTCGAACATGGTGGGCACTCCGTGTAGTGCTGTGCACCTTTCGTCCGATAGCGCCTTCAAGACGGCACCGGGTTCAAAAGTTTCGGCAGGATAAACCACCTTCGCCCCATGAGTTATGCAAGCGAGGAGGCCAAGGACGAGCCCAAAACAGTGAAACAATGGAGGTGGACAACAAAGGATGTCGTATTCCGTGAAGTCCATTCGATCACCAATGAACCGTGAGTTGTTGATCAGGTTGCTGTAATGAGGTCAGTGCCTTCTGCTGTTAAACGCAAAGAGGCCAGAGACTTACTGATGTGTCAGCATTGAAGCCTTGGGATTCCCTGTTGAGCCACTGGTAAACTGCAGGTTGCAGACGTCGAATGGCGACAGAGTGTCCTGCCTTCTCTGAATGGCCTTCATGGAAACAGAATTCCCCTCAAGGGCAACGGACTCATATGTCCCGAACTTTTGGTAGTTTCCTCGGATTAGTATCGTTTCTTCAAGATTTGGAACGCGCTTCGAAATATCGGGAGAGGCAAGGTCATCCAAGGTGTTCTCCAGATTGCGTCGCCCTATTCGAGGAACAATGAAGAGCAGCTTGCAAGCTGTTACTCATCAGCCAATCAGCCAATCCATCCCAAAAACCAGCATGGAGTATCTAGGGACAATCATGCCTGTATGATTGAGAGCGTATATCAACTCCGTCTGGGTATAGGTGTTGTTGATGACAACCAGGATAGCCCCAACACGGGCGGCCGCAAAAAACAGAGACACGTACTCCTCGCAATTGCCAGCCATAACTCCAATCCTATCTCCCCGTTGGATTCCTTTCGCCAGGAGCCCACGCGCAAGACGACCACTCTCGTGCTCGAGGCGCCCATAAGTCCATCGTGCGCCGGTCCAAGGGACAACGACACACTCCAGATCACGATACCGTAGACATTGGAATTCAAGCAATCCGCCCAAAGTCATCTCCCAAAGGGCAGGATGGGTGGGCCCGTGAACGATGGAAAGCCTTTGTTCATTTTCACGTATACACTGTGGCTGGATATGATTCAACGTCTGCTGCAGCCTCCAAAGAGAAGAGTCATTCAATGTTGTCGCCATTTTAGCAATTGCGTTTTGTGTTTACTTTACCCTTACACACCCCGAAGGCCCAATGTTGCATTTCTTTACAACAGCTATTACATATATAATAGGTTTTTTTTTTTCTTCCTTTTTTTTACTTTCTTTTTATTTTCCTTCCTTTTTTTTAATTTTTTTTTTTATACCCTTCCCCCTTAAGGATTTGCCGCAGCCCTTTAGAGGTAATGCACCCCCCTGTCAAGTCCATCCTGTCTAAGTCTCCCTTACCAGGGTTGATGGATTTGAAACATGCAAAAAAGAAAAGCTGATGAACCACTGTTCCAATGTATCTAGCCTGCTAAGCGTATGAAATGTTACGGTTGTGGGGACATGTGACAGTGCAGAGACTCTTCCATCTGTCGCGGATGATTTATTACAGGAGTGGGTGGGGAGTGTAGACACGCATGAAAACGGGAGATAAGGAATCTAATCAATCAGATAATCTTACCAAACCTGTAATTTCGAGAACAAAGTTACACTAGAGTGTCAGGGACAAAAATACACACAAAAATAGCGATCGATGATGTTTTGGGTTGTATTACCGGCTGCGAACGGAGTCCAGTTCTTCGGACCTCAGGAACTTTCACCTGGACTTTTCTCACTCCTCAAAGGTTCTCTCACTCCTCAAAGGTTCTCTCTCTCTGCAAAGACGGCAGCTAATTTCCTTGGCCAGCCACAAACAAGGCTCGTTGGCTTGTTAGACACCCCGGATCCGCCACCGTCTGAGATTTGGGTTTTTGGAGATTACGGCCATAGTTGCGGTATCTTGCTGTGACAATTTTGCAAGTTGCGGTTTTACGTTACCGTCGCATCCTTGACAGGGCCCGCGAGGTTCAACGCTGTGATCGATGCATGGTATATGACACTCCAACAACATCAGGCGATGCCAATCGCCGGACCAAACCAGCAGTGTGCTTTTGCTTCAGCTAAGGGTTCTTAAGTTTTCGAATTCCCTCTAATTTCCCACCGGCAACGTTCGATTATTTGTTACGTTGACAACTTTTTTTTTTTTTTAAACACCTAATTACGCTGAGATTACCTCGTCCTATCCCCTCCCATATTCACTACCATCATTCCCCATGGAGACCGTTATCAAGAACGACGATCCCCACCGACGGGAAGCTGTGCTCCTGCGAGAGAACAATGCGGAAGGGAGTTCTAATGATGGCGGCCAATACGACATAATTTGTGTTGGGTTTGGGCCTGCTGCCCTTGCTATAGCTATTGCTATGCGAGACCGTGGAATCCACCGTCGTGTTTTATTCTTAGAGAGACAGAGAGAATTTGGTTGGCACACGGGCATGCTGCTCCCTGGCAGCAAGATGCAAATTTCATTTATCAAGGATCTGGCCACGATACGGAACCCTTGCTCTCACTTCACCTTCCTTAACTATTTACACCAAAAAAACCGTCTTGTCCACTTTACCAATCTCTCGACACATATGCCCTTCCGAGAGGAATTTAATGACTACATGAAATGGTGCGCCTCGCATTTTGATGACTGGGTTCAATACAAGCAGGAGGTGCTTAGCGTTGCTGCCGCAGAGGCTAGACCCGGTTGGCCAGCCGAACATTTCAAAGTTATGGTCCGTGATGTGCAATCTGGAAAGCTCAGAGAGCTGTCTGCCAAGCACGTCGTCGTTGCTAGCGGAGGAGAGCGAGCTATTCCAAGGGAGCTCTCCAACGAACCTCTACCCAGCACTGTTATCCATTCCTCTGTCTATCTAGAATCTGAACAAAAGTTTCTCCGAGAGAGAGGTGGTTCCTACCGCTTTGCCGTCGTTGGTGGAGGTCAGAGTGCGGTTGAAATATCTGAAGATATGCAATCGAGATATCCCAATTGCAAAGTTACCCTCATCACGAAAGCTTCATCATTGAAGCCCAGCGACGATAGCCCATTGTGAGTTGCCTTTAATTCTGAATTGCAATTGTCACCGCTCCAATTCTAATTACCCAAACCTTGATAGCGTCAATGAGATTTTCGACCCAAGCAGCGTCGACAGTTTCTATTCTCTGAATCACCCAGCACGCCAACAGGCTCTCCTCGAGAACAAAGCTACCAATTACGGCGTTGTTCGTCTATCACTTCTGGAATCAGTTTATGAGAAATTATATCGCCAGAAGTTCCTTGATCCTAATCCTGCTAATTGGTCACTGCGCCTGATTACTAGCCGTGAGGTTGTAGGCTTAAAAGAACTGCCAAATAACCAAGTAGAGCTCCACGTAAAGGACACGCAATCCGGGCAGATCGAGAGCTCTGGCGAAAGGTATGACGTAGTGGTCCTTGCTACTGGATATACGCGCAATCCTTTTGCAACCATGCTCAAACCCTTGGAACCGATCGTCGCGGCTCCGGCAACCGGAGAGCAATACCATGTGGATCGAGACTACCGGCTGCGATTTCATCACGGGAAGGTCAAACAAGATGCTGGAATCTGGCTCCAGGGATGCTGTGAAAGCACTCATGGTGTAAGGAACCGTTTTTCACCGCGCTAAAACTATCCTCTTCGTCTACTTTGCTGACAACTCTTAATTTTGAGCAGTTGAGTGACAGCCTTCTTTCCATCCTATCTGTGCGTAGCAGCGAACTGCTTGACTCCATACTTGCAAGCAGCAAGCGCGCAGAGAATTACGCACGACTATAGGCTTTTCGAAGCTTGCTATTGCGGGAAAAGGTCTCATCTCGGGGTGACCGGTTTCCGTATAAACTTTACACTTGGCTACCTCATGGTAGCATGGGGTACGGAGTATGGTGGTGGCCTTTCCTGCTTTAACGGCATACGTCAAAAATTTAAGTCAGTAATAGTTGTATACATGCAACTGTCGATTTATCCTCTATCTCTCTAGCGGGCCGAGTTTTGCTCTAGGTTTCATATATCCTTGGCCATCCACACCTATTAAGAAAGAGAGTGTATTGTGTGAAGCTTTTTATTTTGTAATGGAGGTTGTTTACTTTTTGAAGGACGTCCATTTGTGGGCGTTTTGTTTAATTATACATAGTTAAAATATTTTCTCCTTTTAATCAGCTTTTTCTGTTAAGACATTATTTGACCAATCTGTAACTAACTAGTTATCTAGTTAGTTAACTAGTCATAACTTGCAATCAGCAGAGTCTTTAATATTATTGGTCAACAACGCTCTTCCATCAGATAATACAACAGTTTCTCCAACCTTCACTACGAATCGCACTTCGCGTAGCGTCTCGTTTTCTTGACATATGTCCACTGCTCTATTCGACACTCCCATATCCCACATGAGGATATCCAGCTTATCTCCCGGTATTACCGGCGCAGCAAATCTTGCCTCAAAGTCACGCAGACGTGGGCCGTCGCTGTCACCATATCGAGAGAGGACTCTTTGGGCAGCAACATTCCAGCTGAACAGTCCATGCATAATAACTCCTTCATAGCCTAGAGCTTTCCCAGGCTCCGGAATGGCATGAAGCGGATTATAATCACCACTAAGGCTATGTGCGTTGAGAAGTCGTCAGATCTTTTATACAGGACATACTTGTGGCAAAGGGGAGGAGGACTTACCGGTAGAGATGTGCTGTTTCCGCGTGTGTTTGGAAAGTCGATACCGCGTCCGGCTTTCTTGTTGGACTTGGGGGAGGATACCGTGTAATTTTGGGGCCTGCATGTAGTTATCAGCAGTAGCACTCGTATTGTCGGATACACCCGGAGGCCCATCCTGCTCTCCAGGGTCGCCCCCCCCCCCCCTCTTCCGGGAGGGCGTCCATACAATCCGTAAAATAGAATAAGAGTAGAACACTGATTTATCGACTCACCCCGCTCTCCACCCCAACCTCCAGTCCCTTTAAAGAACACACTTTCCCAAGAGCGAGTATACGCCTCCCCGCTCTCCTTCTGCTTCAGAACATGCTCAATCTCCATTACTGTTCCTTTTCCTGGTCCCTTATCAAAGACATTTAGCACTTTTGAATGAATCTCCCAAGTTCTGCCCTCGCTTGATGGAGGCAAGGGTCGCAAGAATGTCATCCCGCGTCCCCCGTCGACGGCTACGCCCCAGTCTAGCTTAGGGCAGCCCGGAGGCAGAGCGCGTGATGCATTCCGTGCGAGGAAGTCAACAGTGTCAATGTCCGTGTGTTTAAAAGCTGGTACGACTATGAATATGGAAATATAACATCTCGCCGGAAAGAGACCACGTACTTAGCACGATGGGATATGTAGGGAAAGTTTGGAAGTTAGGATGTAGTTCCTAATTGCTCCAGTTAACGATCTATTTATCTACATAGGTCTATTTATCGGCGTACGTACATAGAGGAAATGAAGCTCCCGATTCGGCTGGCAACCAATGGTGTTTGCAAAGAGCAGCACATCGCGCTTCAGCCATGATGTCTTCTGCGGTGCATATTCGAATTGCGGAATAGTGGTTGCCATGATTAGGAAGTCGGGTCCAAAGTGCAGAGTAATATGTCTATCCACATTATCGACAGCGGTGAATTTCTCCCTAGAATGCACCGTTGCTCAAGAATGAAAATGATACCTACCCAGGTAGTTAGGTAGGCATTTTGATGAGACATGCATTATATAGCTAAACGAAGGACCTAGGTAGGTGTGTGTGTACCTAGGTATCATCTAGCAAATGCAGTTCCAACTGTATGCAAGTTATCACCTTTGTTTGAGTGCCCATCAACATTGCCAGGAACAGGAACCGGTTTCGGGGTGTCTGGTAATATACAGATCTGGTATGTATGGAGCTGGGTATTATCGATGCGGTGTAATGCGTAATATTACTGTAATAGTTCGTGTATTGGTCATGACCAGACTGTTATCAGATCCGTAAAACAAGGTTTTGTCCGACGGATCTGATAACTTTAAAACACACTAAGTTTCGGCGACATTTTTGTTGTCAGGAAAACCTTTTGCTGAGTGGGAACGAACCAGTGTTTTTTAACCTTCTGCTGGCCCTTGGTCTTTCTCCACCATTTTCGTTTGAGAGCGGGAAATGTCGCGCGCTCTAAATGTGGGAGGGGTGGGGGGTGTTTTGATGTGGCATCTGTGAAAAGTTTAGTTCTTTTTTGGCTGCTCACTCTCGCTCCCACTTGATCAAGGCAGACTTCGAACCGAGATACAGAAGTACAATGATCCGTGCATATGCGAGAAATAACAGGAACTTCCCCTGGTCTTGCAAAGCAATAATAATACTAATAATAGTCATCCTCCACCTTCGCACCTTAAACGGATAATTTTTCGCAACCCGCGGCATGGTGGCTGAACCAGCACATGACTGTCAGAAAATTTGTAAATTTCAGTTAACCAGCAATCCTTCAAGAATGAGGGGATAATTATCCTTTCTAAGTCCCACTCCTCGAATCTCATCCCTCATGCCACTGACGGCATCTCGACTATGAACGGAACCTTTACGTCTGACACAAAATACGTCATGTCGGGTTTCAACAACCATTTCTTGCGACAACTTTTCGAACCCAAACTTTGTGTAAGATGGAAGCCCAGCCAGCGTCAACTCGAGGTACACTGGTAACCAACTAGCTGCAACCTTCTCACCCATATCCACCGGAAGTTTGCCGACTCCGTGCCCCTGGTGTTCCAGGTTGCAAGGCCAGGACAAAGCAGTCTCGTAGAAAGTTAATTTAGTTAGTAGTTGGCAACCAGGTACTAAATGGAACACTTCGGCACCCCCCCAAAAATAACTACGCACAAATATGTCTCATTCCAACCTAACCGCTTTTCCCTTCAACTGGCCACAGAACCTCAAGAAGCCCTTTCTGCCCTCTTGTCGCTGTTTTCTCACGACCAATGCGCATCCCAAATTTCCATGCCGACAGTCTTTCCTGTATCTGTGTCTACACAATTAAAAGTATGCTAGACTGTGACAATGTGCCACCACTGTAGAGTGCTAGCTGTATGTGTTGTGCGTAGCTTTTTATTAATTCTCTTCAGGTAAAGGACGTCGAGGATCATCCATAACTGGGCTGCATGGTTCTCAATCCAGATAGATTATGATACCCCAGGAACAGCCGCACCATGATATTATAAACGAATCCACCTCGCGAACTGTTTTAATTTTTTTTTTTTTCTTAAGGGAAACGCGCCTCGGCCCTGCGCTTCCAAATTTCAGCACCAAAATTTGAACGAAACAATAATTGAACTCAGGATCCGAATGCAGTACTCTCCGTATTTGGGTATTGTTACAACTAATTGATTTTTTGGGATGCTACCTCTGAAGACTTGCTAAAATATCAAAACAAAGTAAAATAAGCTGTCCGACACTGGGGTATGTGTGAAAAGAGGGATCGTAGAATCCGGAAAGGACGTGATTATTATGCGTAGCAATAAACGACAAAGCCGCAAACAAGAAATACGGAATAACTGTGTTTGCACCTAGTTGAAATTGACCACACTTTTAGTTGCTCGTCCAATCCTTAACTACCAATCTCTCCTCAATCATCCCAGAGTAGCTAGGCTTCTAGACCAAGTAACCAGAGAACAGTCATGGAAACCAAAATGCATTTTTCTCGCGCTCTGATGATAAGCCCCTGCTGCACCCGTTCAATTGGAGAGAGGAAAGCTGACCGCACTAAACGACACGGCCCTTGACCTGCTTGAAGTCCTTGACTTTGATATCTCTCCATACCATGGTGGAGACAAGAGAGATAGCCAAAACTGCCGTGCCGCCGATGAGCATATATTTTTGCCCATCGCCGTAAGCCTTGCTGATGGCATTCCTTGCAGGGCTTCCAACTGGATACGACTTCTGCACCACCAAGTCGCCGTATATGAGGGTGGCGTTGGCCTTCTCCGCCTCGGGTAAGTACTCCGCTAATCTCTTGGGAAACACCCCGGTCCAGATCGCGGCGGCAACCGTTTGACCGATGGCGCCACCAATGCTGGCGAACATGCCTTCAATTGCAAGAACAACAGCAACGTACTGATGCGAAGTGGCGGCCATAACTGCCATCTGTTCGCAGATAACCAAAGTACCTCCAGCAAAGGCAATGAAAATCTGGCACATAATGATATACCCGATATTCACGCCTGGTTGGCGGAAGTTTATCATGAGGCCGACACCGAGAATAGTCAAAGGGACACCAAAATAGAGAGCAAGCCATTTAAAGCGTCCACTCCATCGGATTAAGATGCCCACCACGACAGACCAGAAGCAGGAGCCAATGCTGTAGATGTTGGCAACATAACTAGCCTCTGTAATTGTCAAGTTGTTGACGACTTGAATGAAGGAAGGGAAGAAGCTGTCCCAGATGAAAAAGCTGACGAATAAACTTGCGGCGAGAATACAGGCACCCAGGACGGTTCGGTCAACCAGGAGGTTAAAAGGTATGAAGGAGACGGGGGCGAGATATTTCTCGTACAAGGCAAAGGCTATGATGAGGAGGCCGCCCAAAATAATCATGGATATGATCATGGATGACCGCCACTGGTCCTTCTGGTACGAATAGAGACTAAATGGGAGAAGGAACAGAGCCAATCCTGCAGCTAGGAGGATGATTCCAATAACATCAAACTCGTAAAAGTAGTGTTTGAATGACTGAGCAAAAGTACGGTTGTTCTCTCTGGAAGGCAGCAAGCCGGCCTTTTTGGCCTTGTTGTAGTTCCAGGTGAACACTGCGTACAGGGGAAAGGTGATGATAGGGGTAATGATGGAGAAAGCACCATATCCCCATCGGAATCCAGGACCATTCAGGAAGGCTGTCGCAAGTGGTCCACCAACCCAGACGGTGGCGATATAGGGTGACGAGATAAATGCAAACATAAGGGCTCGATTTTTCAACGCAGATGTATCAGCAATGAAAATGCCCAACGTGTAAGACATTCCGTTATACCTGACAAGAGACGCAACACTAATTAGTTTTTCGCTTGAAGAAACAAGAGAGAAAAGAAAGGAAAAGAAAAAGGTCTTCAAAGGGCAGCGTACCCGACCCAGTAGAAGACTTGGGCAGCGGCATAGGTCTGGACGTTGTTACATCCAGCCATCATGATAAGACCGATAACCAGTGTGAAGGTCATCAAGGCGAAGCCTTGAGGTCGACCCCAGATATCCAGGACCTTGGCGAGTGGTAACTTCACTAGACCCCCGATGATGCTCGACATAATACCGGTCGAGGCAGTCAATGAATGGTGTTTAAAACTGCTGGTGACATAAGGAAGGAAGGAATTGGACATTCCCTGCTGCATTGTGTCGACGAATGTGATAATCCATATCCTGAAGGATGATGTCAGTCATGTTCTAGCTACGAATAACGGTGGGTGGAGCTAATGGAATGGACAACATACATGACATATGCGAAGATAAGATGCTGTGTGCTCCAAACCTTTGTCGTAGCCTCAATCTTGCGTACACCCCCCTGGGCGTCCGGGGAAATGGTCTCCTCGTCGCTGGAGATTTCTTGATCTTCAGAAGAAGCTCCCACTTCTTTATCCTCTCCATTGGTGATGGGTTGCTTCTCAACCACAGGTGCAAGGATTTGCAACTTGGAGAGAAGAGTCGACTTCATGGTGAAGGGAGTAAGAAATCGGGCTGGGAAGTCGGGTAGAGGTGGAACAGAGACTTCAAACACGAAAAGACAGAGAGCAACTGGCGTGGCAAGGCCATTTTAATATGACTTCTCCAAAAGAGAGATTTCCTTAGGTGCGGAGCAGTGTCCGCCAGTGACGTGTGTGAGCTGTGATCCCAGGTTGTGTTTCTGGCTGCTTTTTCTGGCTGCTTTTTCTGGCCGGGAAATGCGATGTAATTCTCTGTTGTGACAATACCATACATGTACAAGGATATGCGGCACTGGGATCCCATCTGATAAGACTGATTGATAAGATTAGAAGTAAATACGTTCTTATACGGTACAATACATGTACTAGATCTATACTGTATTACTCGTCTATACGGTACCGTACGTAATACGGTAAGCGAGAAATGGGGTTTGAAGTCCTGATTTGTCATTTTGAGAATGGAGTTGTGAGGCCCACCGAGGCTCAGGTGTTGGAAGGATGTGGGTGTTGGTTCCCAGATGGATTGAAGCGTCTGGGGAACTTGATCGTGCAAAATCAGAACTCAAGCGTTTGAGCCGTCTCTATCACGTGAGATAACCGCCATTGCCCCGTGAATGCCCGGCGCTTGGGCCTTTGACGACACACCTTCGACCGTTCAACGAACGCCGTCAGTTCTACTAAGGTACCCTCCATGATATCGATTCGGACTCCATGACAGCCTGCAACATGTTCAAATAAAGTCTTCCGGAGTGGGGCATTGTGCCATATGGAGCATGCGTTGCACAGTTCCCTATAATTACGGAGATCGCCTTCTCATGATGTTAGTTAGTTGTTTGACGGGTAGAGACCTTATTTTTTAGATTTGGAAACGACAGTCGTCACGTGGATGTACCAACTTTCGCGAGAATCTTTCAATTGTATGGGTGTTTCTATCAGCCAGGGAATATTTATTTATGTTAGTACTGATTATAGGTAGGGCTCCTCTCATGTTGTGTTATTCTTGTCTGATCTCAACCTTTCGACAACTACTGGTGGGTTTCCTATGTAGCCGAAAGCATGGATGCAAAGACCGCTTTACATGACGCAGTTTTGTAAGGGCAGGACGAAAGAGCACATTTCAAAATCAGCAGTGATCCTGGAAGAGGCACCAGAGTGCGGATGCTGGAATGATCAATTTTTGTTAATGGGTATTGACGGTAAATGGAACGGCCTGCTCTGTCCACGGCCAACTCTCCCGAGGATGATATTAATAAACTGGAGCACGAATATTGGAGATGTGACTTTAAGTTTACCCACAGAGCAGGCAGATCATCAAAGAACACAGCGGTTGCGGTCTACAATACGTTCCAACCATCCGTGTCCGTTCATAGTCAAAACTCATTGTTTATTATTATTATTTTGGTATAACCACAGCAATTTCTGTCTTTGTGTTCTTTGGGTATTCGACGGATGAAATGTTCTGGGGTATGTCGGAATTCCTTCCTTGAACGCTAGTTTCAAGGGCATCAAGTCAGCTTTGTTCAGACACCAAAGGTTGCTTCTCATCCTTGGAAGACCGGTCAATCTGTTCACCGTTACCCTGCAAGAACCCAAATGGTTGGTTGGAACATGTGCAGTCTGTCAGTGTGGACCGCGGTTCCAGCGATCCCGACAATGAGGCATTCAGAATTTCAACAAACCTCCAAAAACCCCAAAAATTCCCAAGTCACTTCATGGAACCTACTTTACGAATTCAGCCAGTTAAAGTCCCAATACGTTTCTTCCAACTTCTTCCATCATCACTTAGGGTTGTACCTGCTGGGTGCGTTTCCAGTTGAATTGTGCTCAGCAACACCCGTGTAAGCTGCGTTTATTTTCTACGTGCACATATAATGGCACAAACACTATTGAATTCGTTAAACGGGACGAGTCCAATCAGAAGGAGAAGGATATGACCTCATCCGTTGAAGTTTCATGCCTTCCAGTCCAGGGAGGATTTCTCGGGTCTCGGTTATGTTGTTACGTATATTTATCTGATCATGTTCCTGCACATGGCAAGGCAAAAGAAACCTTCCAGAGGTTTGACGTATTTGGGCCCCAGTCAACCTACCGAGGTATTGTTGATATATGTGATGAAAACTAAAGGTGGTTGGACTTACATATCTCAAAGGGAGGTTTCTTCTTCAACCACGGAGGCATCCTCTCTGGTGACTTCAACCCCGAAACATTCAGCTTGACCTCTTCAACAACCTCTCTTCTGTCACTTTATCCACTGAGATGTCCTCCCCACCACTTCGACCACCTTGACAGCCTTCTCATCATTTCAACTACTGAGACGTCCTCTCCAGTGGCTTCAACCCCTGAAACATCCACCTCAGCCACTGAGAGTACATCCGAGAGCAGCGCAACCGCTCCTGCAACCACCTCTGCCACTGAAGGCAGCGCACACTCCTATCCAGCCATCTATGCCCCTAAAACAGCCTATCAAGTCGCCTCTGCTCCTGAAAGTGCAACATCACATATAGCCAGCTCTGAAATTATTGAGATGTCGTCTCCCACTACTCCAACAACTTCAGTCACTTCAGCGCCAACGCCAGCACTGTCAGCTAACCTCTGGTGCTTTGCTCTTCCCTTTTAATCTCCGATGATGAATCGGGATATTCTATGAACGATGTGAGAACCTTCAAGCATGATCATCAGCATCTATCGGTGCAGTAACAGGCTTGATTTGCGAAATGCTCAAGATTTCATTCCGTGCTACAGAGGCAGCATTAAACTTCCACTATGCATCCGCCGGGCTCGCAGATCAGTTGAGTGGAAAAGAGGCTGCGGGAGTTTGGAATGGAGCCATCACTGATGACCACATCACCACGACGAAAGCGTTCCCGTACTGGTAGCGACGGCCTCGATACTTTTTCTGATACACTCTGGCTGATCTGAAGAAGAGGAAAGGGATTAAAAAGGCCGGGCTAGAAAGCTTAAAGGTTAAGAAATAGTAAAGTTGTGGAACATTAGTTTTTTCTTTCATTATCGGGTGCTTATCGAGTAGTTATATCTGCTACGCTGGTGGAAACCAGCACATAGCTACCATGTTTCCTTTGGTGTCCTATATTACTTCGCCCAGCTACCCATTGCAAAAACGTTTTGGATTAGAAGCCACGTTGCAGACGCAAAAGCAATTGTAATGTCTAGAAGAAAAGTATTTACAGTTGTTCTCATTTTCCCATGTGCTTGACTTCACATTGCCACACATAGCTTAGCAAACGGAAGTTAACTAACCCACTTTGGGTATTTTTTGACAACCTGTTGGTTTTCTCTTGCATAAAATAGGGGTTTAATACGCTATCATCATTTTGTACCTTGGATAAAAGCATTGTACATACAACTCGTACTTTGTGTTACATTCTGAGGAGAATCTCATCTTTTCTGTTTAATAAAGGTTTGCTTTTGCCTTGTAGAATAGCGGGCAATTGTGGCTGAGCCCAAGAACGCGGGTTTTGGCCACACTTATCTCCTATTCGGGTATCGAGCTCTTCAAGCGCTGACTATTATCCTACGTTCAAGGAAAGACTGGGGATACCAAAGCAGCAAAACTGTGCTGGAATAGTAGCACCAGCATCTTCTCGCCGGGGAAACATGCTGAGTAGGCCTTGGGTTCCTCTTCCAGCAGCGGCCATTATCTGGCAAAAGAAATGGAACGCAGCATTGGTGCTTAGCAAATGCCCTGATACAGGGGGTTGACCATGAGAGCAGATCCGACCTTGGACAGAACGGTATATATATGACAGGAGACAACCTCTGGCAATGGCATAGCATTTTAGTATTGTGATATCCTTTTATGCAACCTTTTTTTTTTTTTTTTTTTTTTTTTTTTTTTTTGGAAACCGCAAATTATTTGCTTAACAGCCATGTCATCGGAGCTTAGAGCTGAAGGTAAAATGCTTACACCCACCTTGGTAACTGAGACACAGAGGACTAAAATCGGCATTCTAAGATGTCTACCATTACTCTCCAAACAGGGGCGCTGCCATCTTATTCACGGTGGCCTATGCCCTTTCAGCGGCTTTGCATGAGTGGCAGTATAGGTGAGGTCATGCCCACCGACGTGTCACAGTCTTTGGGCTTTTTCTCATTCCCATCTCTCCTCAGAACATCAAGGCCCCAAAAATTCACGATCCCATTGACGCTGGGAGCCATGTTTTCGGCAATCGGGTTTTTTCAGCGTTCACTCCTTGCTTCTGGCTTGGGAAACACCAAATCCCTTTACATCTTCTCCACCATGTTCATTCTTGGTGCGGGGCCGACTTATGCTGGGGCCGACTATTTTATCTGTGGACGCCTTTTCAGCTTTGTTCCATCTGTCGCGCCGATGTCTCCAATCAGGGTCGTGCGTACCTTCATCGCATTTGATCTCCTGGCTGAAATATGTGTCTGGGCCGGCGCCGGCTTGCTTGCCGGAGCAGGCACCGACGCGGTAACACGCTATAAGATTGGGCTCAATTTGATACGGGTTGCCATGATTACCCAGGCAGTCTTGTTCGCCTCTTTTGTGGGTGTTTTGACATTGTTCCATGCTAGGATGAGTGCACTTCGTGCAAAGTGGCTCGTTTCTTCGGATGGTGGTACGCAAAGAAAGTTCATGACGGTCGTGTATTGTCTTTATATTTCGTCGATATTGATAATTATACGATCTGCCTACCATATTGCAGGTATTTTCTTTATTATTAATTAACACTTGGGCAATAATCATTCAAGGCTGACATCTTGTTACCTCCAGAGACATTTTTTCCGGAGGGTCACACTTTTCGCACGACAGAGGCGCCTTTTCTCATATGTGAGGCGCTTATAATGTTTCTTAACACCGCCATGTTCAATATATTTCATCCTGGCCACATACTCCCCATGGACTCCCGCATATATGTGGGGCTCGATGGACAGGAGAGAGAGAATGAAGCAATCGAAGGGGCGCTGCAAGATTCACGACCGCTCTCGCAGAAGATTCTGGATCCGCTCGATATCAAGGGGCTGTTTGTCAGGGATAAGACAAAAGCATATGATCCTTGTGGAGAGTTGGAAAGTTAGTCACCCATCCCACCGGTTTGTTTCTCATTGGAAGCTAAGTGTATCGCCTTTTGGTCATTTTCAATATATTCATCCTTTCTTAAGTTTATCACTTTATTGCCATGTTTCCCTGTCTCTATTTTTTCTGCATGATACATTTCCTTATTTTATATTCTACAGATGGACTTAATATATATATGTGAGATTGGCTCTATATGCAGAGCATCCTGCACTACTTCCAGTGTGATACAGGAAAGGAAAATAAGAGAAGAGAAAAGAAAACATCGGACCCCTGGGTCTGAGGTTGACGTAATAGCCAACACCAATTCTCTCTGTGGAAATGATAGCCGAGTCATATAATTGAAAAACCTACGATATTGGAATAAAGACTAATCTTGAAACCGAGTTTGCAAAAGGTAAAGAATAAGGAAACGGTCACAACAACAAGCGTATATATGGACGAAACAACTCAAAAAATGAAGTCAAATTTTCATCCGAGAATACAATTCCCCCGAAGCTAGAAAGACAATATGACCCGTGGCATGTGCTTTCTAAAGATGTTTCCACAAATCAAAACACTTGATTTGCAGTAGTAAGGGGCAGTTTCGTTTGTACCCAGCACCTGCATCCGAGTTCCTAGGTAACAGATGACTCGAAAGAAATGGGAGGATGCCGGGTATTCCTGTATCGGATATAGATATCTTGGAACTGGGATAACCTTTGGCTAATCTCAACCAAGGGTTAAAATAAAAAAGAGACCTCGCGAGGTGGCAGCAACGGATGGCTTCGCGACCACAGACAAGCAGGAGACTCATATTATAAAGCAAAAACAAGGGGGATCTCCCATACTTCTATTTCAGATATAAGAGACTTTGTGAGGACTGCGAGAATCATGGAGAGGGTTAAAGTCAAACCTCAATTCCAAGGTGGTTTTGTCACCCTGTATGCAGTTTGCTCGGATGGTGTGGCACGGACACGATGATTTCCATTCATAAGCATGTGTCAACCGCTTCACACCACTTGACGCTCTCTAATGGGACATGATATTTTGAAAAAACACAACATCCCCAGTCAATATTTTTAAGATGTGCAGGTTTTGAGTCTCTATGTCTAATTTTGTGAGAGGAGAAGGGAAGACAACAGAGAATAATCAACTAAAGAACAGGGGGATTCGATCTGAAGGTGCAAACCGAATAAATGTAGGGATTATATCTGAGAGAGAAAAAAAAAAAAAAAAAAGTAAAGAGGAATGAGAGGTAATGGAAGATGCTGTCATGTAAAAATAATGGGGATAGACTGTATATCAATCCAAAGGATGATTTACCAGCTGGCGGGCCTGAAGAGGCGGATGGGCTATGAATGCAACCTAAGTCTGGGTATAGGTGATGTGTTTCCAGCTGTCTGTTCACTGCAGCAATTTGGGAATTTGGAGAAAGAGCAAAACCTTTCTTTACCTCTAGAAGTGGATAACTGAAAAGAAAAAGAAGAAAAAGGCACAGAACTTTTATCCTATGGTCCTCCGTATGTAGTAACTATTACTAGGTAAGGAGATGATGACTAGCACACCGACAAGGAAACAGGCCTGAATATGTACATACTACAACGATACTAGATATAATGAGCTTCATACGAGGCATGTACTTGCATTCACCGTTTGATCCCTTATCAAACACCGCGACGCAAGATATATTCATCAGTCGTAAAATATTAACAATGGGTAGTATATACATATACTACCTACACACAGCTGAAAACGGGCGCTAGAGTTTCCCTGTGCAGAAACGAAAACGCAAAACAAACGTGAGAAATGAAAATTTCACAATGTGGAGTCGTTGAGCAACAAGATCCTGGTACTGGTGCGGGATCTTGTTCAAGCTTTCGCGCTCGGGTCTCAATCTTGTCATATCTCCAGCATCAAGAGTCAAGAACCAACGAGGTTCCATGAGGGAAGTTCAAGAAGAGTGTAAGAACAAGCGAGCGAAAATGAGCAAAGGGGGGGAAGAAAAAGGTTGTTTCAGTCAGCAACAGTCACATGTTGGCTGCTGCTTGGGCGCGCGCGCCCTCGGAATTCCGCTCAGCTCGGGAATCTTTTCCTTTTTCTCTTTCTTCTATCATTTGCCTTTTTTTTTTTTTTCTTTCCTTTCTCCTTTTTCTTTTTTTCTTTTTCTTTTTATTTTTTTTTATGGTGTTTGTCTTGTTTCCAAAATCATACGAAGCGTATACGAAGCGGGAAAAGGTAAAAAAGAATTTCATATTCATATGGCTGCGCATATTTGCCGTGCCGCGGTATACGATGCGCAGATTTGACACAAACCGCGTTACTTATCGCTAGGTGCTTATTTCACATTTCTATTCTTCTTTCTTCATTATTTCCGAGAGCCCGTCAGAGAGAAGAAGAGAAGAAGAGGAAGAGGAGAAGCAGAGAGACAATAATGCAGGTATCCCCGCGGGTGCCAGGAACAATACTGGTTGTTCGTTGGGCATTAGTAATTGCTATGACAGCAAGTCCACAAAAATTAGTTAGGCACAGTGACACAGACAAATTTAGGAACCTTGGGAGCCCCCCCCCTGTGGAGCTGGCTGATTACCAATGACCCGTTGCGGGTGGGGGCGTAAGCTGGGGATGTTTCGCGTATTGGTTAGGGCGCGCAGCCGGAATGGCAAACCGCCCAATCGTCATTATTCACTCACATTTCAAAATTAGCATATTTGCGATTTCCCAGACCTTGTTTCTCATTCTGCTTCCGGATTCCCCAAATCTCGCTAGTGGTTCCCTCTCTGTGTGAAGCTGCTCTGAAGCAACCAGTAGGATCCTCAGCCTGGTTCCAGTGTTTTGTTTTCAATAGCGCGCTGTTCGCTGGTCGGGGACTTGTAATGATTGAGTTGGCGCCTGTCACCGTGGGATGTGATTTGTCCCAGCCCCAAAGGGAATCCTGAGCCTTTCCTGCTCCCGGCCGGCCAATCAGAGGCGTTCCTGGCTCCCGGGGTGGGCTGGGCTGGGCTTAGTCAGGCCTTGGCGGGGATTGTGAGACAACAAGCCAACCAGCGGTGAGGAAGGGCATTACTCAGCTGCTCACCGCCTCCCGCTTAAGTAAGACCTGAGTCAAATCCCCCCGTCTGTCCCCGTGACCCGAGTC